TCAGTGATGTTAAACCATTAAATACTTTAAATATGCCAGGAAAAATAATATTTTTTTTTAAATGTTGAAATTGCTTTTTACGCACTCTATGGTAGTCTTTAGATAATAAAATAATTAAAACAGTTTACAGCATCAATATAAAAATATATATTGCGTCCGCCCCCCCCCCCCCTTTCCCTTCCCTCCAGACCTCTTGTGTGCAGGAGGTGAGACAGTGGTTTGCTCCCTGGGTGTCTCAGGTGGTTCGACTCTACTCTGACAGCAGAGCTCTGGAGCTGGAGTGGACAGTCGGACCGCTGCCCATTGAGTGAGTGTGTGTTTATCACTTACGTTAAAGCTGTATAGTCTGCGTATATGTTTTCATGTGTGTAAATAGAAGTACACTATGTAAGTATTTTATAGGCTGCATTTCAGCTGATGTTTGGTTTTTCTAATGTGGAATCATGGCCAAAATGCATCACTTAATCTCTTCTTTCGGTCTCTTTATCCATTAGTGATGCTCTGGGGAAGGAGGTGATCACTCGTCTAGACACCAGCATCAACACCGAAGAATATTTCTACACTGATTCAAACGGCAGAGAGGTGCTGCAGAGAAAGTAAGAGACAGTCCGATTTTTATTTTAATGTTGAAAATACATAGTAACTAACTTATCATTTGGCAAATGTTGGTAGTAATAATAAGTTAACGGTATTTTAATGAAACTCTTTAGTTAGACTGATCTGGAATAAATTATCTTCCAAAAATTGACAGATTTTGGTTTTAAAAATCTAAGTGGTGTTGAGTGGCTGTGTTTTACTGAACTCTCTCTGTCTTATAAGGAAGCTCAGATAAGTGTGTGTGTGTGTGTGTGTGTGTGTGGGTGTGTTGTAATTTTGTCCTAAAGGAAAGATTTCCGGCCCACTTGGAACCTAATGCAGTCGGAGCCCATTGCTGGAAACTACTACCCCATCAACTCCCGTGCTTTCATCAAGGTGTGTGTGTGTGTGTGTGTGTGTGTGTGTGTGTGTGTGTGTGTGTGTGTGTGTGTGTGTGTGTGTGTGAGAAAGTTTTTTTCAGAAATAATCCAAAATTTAAAGGAACTAGAAACTACTTTTTGTGTGTGTGTGTGTGTGTGTGTTTTCAGGATGACGTGGACCAACTCACTGTGGTGACTGATCGCTCTCAAGGAGGAGGCAGCCTCCAGAACGGTTCTCTGGAGATCATGGTGAGATACACACTGCTAACAGTCAGGTAGTTAACCTGGATCAGATCGAACAACAAGACTGACACACACTCAATTTACCAGTCTTTCTGTCTCAGTCAGTACACACACACATACAGAGTCTCTCTCTCTTAACTTCACGCTCCTCCGCCTCAGCTTCACCGCCGGCTGTTATACGATGATGTTCGCGGCGTTGGGGAGCCCCTCAACGAGACGTCGGACATATTCCCAGAAGGGCTGGTGGTCCGGGGCCGTCTCCTGCTCTCCCTGGACCGGCCGCCCACCGCAGCTGACGCACACCGCCCCCTGGCCCAGGAGGTGGTACAGCAGCCGCTGCTGACATTCATTGATGGAGATCTGCATCCAAAAACTCGACTGGAGGTGAGTGAGGAGAAGCAGTCTAATAAATTGACTTTGTAGCTGCATTACAGATCACCAAGCAGCCATGTTGGGTGCCATCTTGGAGGTTGTGAAGAATTGGCTTTATGCAAATAATGTCTAAATGCACAACAACCACAAACACTCTACAGGTCAGATTATTTCATATTAGAGGTACGAATTTCAACCCAGTAAACAATAGAGACTAAATGTTACAAACTAAAAAAATGTGGAAAGTATGTCACTAGGCATGATATTTTCACTTCCTTTATCCTGCAGAACTTTTTGTTTCAAAGCTATTATGTGTCGAATTTTAACATTTTCTGACTTTGGCACCCCCAATGGTGGTATCAAAAATATAGAAAGCCTAAGGCCTAAGGTCCCTTCCTCTTCTGAGATACAACAAAGTTTTTATATAGTTTGAGCTGTTTCAGACTATTCTCATTTCACAAAATCTCAGGAGAGCAGGCTGAGCTGGGTTTTTTTTTTTTTTTTAAATCTCTAGTTGTAATAACATGTTTTCAGCACTAGTAATAATTAGTGACACATAGTGTCAACGTCTTACTAATTTACAGAGACATTTTGCCCTGTAATTCATTCATTAAAACACCCGACGACAAACTTGAAACAGCTGCCTGTTGTGAAAAGACCATCAGGCCTATATGACTGGAGTCAAAGCAGTGAGTGTGACTGTGGGTCTCGGTCTGTCTGTAGTTTTCTGCGCTGCAGGCTGCGCTGCCCCCTGCTCTCCCACCTGCTCACACTGACACAGTGGGACAAAGACTCGGTGCTGCTGAGACTGGAGCATCAGTTCCAGAGCTGGGAGAGCAAACTGAACTCACAGCCTGTCACTGTGAACCTGCAGGTCAGTTACAGTTATGATAAAGACTAATGCTGAAGTAGTTAGATTATTAATGTCCATAACATTTAAATTTTGCAGTGTAATGAAACACAGTCATTTCTTGGTTCAAGCTTAAAAAAAAAGAGGTTTTGCTTCTTTGAGTTCAGGACATTTTATAGATTTACTGTTTAAAGGAAGTGTAAAGTAAATAAAATGAAATGGAAATAATTCCAAGTTTATTGTAACTGCTATTTATATCACCCTGTCTTGCTTTCTGTCTGTGTAGAAGCTGTTTTCCACTCTTGAGGTGCTGGGCGTGTCTGAACTAAACCTGTCAGCCAATCAGTGGAAAGATGAGATGACACGTTTTCAGTGGACACCAGAGACAGGTACACCTACACCTGTCATTATCTTCACTACATTAGCTCTTAACAAGCCGAAAGTAAATTTGGAACATGTAAGTAACACACAGGGTTGCATGTGTGTAGAAAACATTTAACAGAGAATTGTGGCTTTGTTTGTTATATTAAAAAGGGGTTTTGATGAAATGCATTAAAATGGAAATTTAAGTCAGCAATAGTATGGAAAAATTCATTATTAAAAAAAAACAGATTCTGGTATGCAGAGACTCACCGGCTAAACGTTTGTCTTGAGGATGCCATTATAGTAATGGCCATTAAATTATTAATGTCTGCCAATTATATTAGATCAAGATGTCCAGCGGGCAAAGTTGCCATTGTGTTTCAAGGTGATGCCATAGAAAAGTGCACATACTATCTAAAATGGCTCATTCTCTGGTGAGCTTAAAATGTCCTGTGTAGAAGGACATTTGGTCCTTTTTGGTAGCACTAGGAAACAGTAGGATTCTTATTCTGGGGATCACGTGTATTAACAGTACATTCTGTGAGTAGTTGCTGCATCTGCCACTGAGGGAGCATGTTCTAACCCTGACCTTTAAGCTCCAGTGAGAGAAGGGAAAGAGACCAGAAGAAAACCTGTACTCAGAAATCCGTTAACGATCACCAAAGAATAACACCAGGTAGTGTAGGTGAAGTAGTCTCATCTGTCAGCTCTGTGGCAGGAAGCCGCTGCTGGTCAGCTGCCAGTCGCTGATGGACCACTTGGCTGGGTGGTGAGGTTCCAGTTCAGTTTGAACAGTAGACTAAAGAGAGGAAGATGAATGCAGAAGTCCACTGACGCTTTTTAATTCTTCAAGGGTGGTAATCACTGCTCCATTACAGTCAGGTTAACTATATAAAGACGTATTCCCTGCAGGGGGTAATCAAGCAGGCTGTGTAATTTAATGAGTCATAAATGCATTGTTTAGCTTTATTAGTAAACTGTAGGGTGTTTAGTGTTTTTGTAAGCGGTAGAATGTATCTGTTTCACTTCACCTGTTGGTAAGTTTCTACCTTTTGATTTTCTTTGACTTTTGATCTGCTAGTTTGTTTCGACAGTGACATTTGTAGAAATGTCTGTTTGTGTTAAACATTTTTACATGCTGAACCTATTCTTCAGGTGAGAGGCCCCTGCTGAAAACGTTTGAAGACCCCTCCATGTGGGAGGTGACCTTGAGGCCAATGGAGATCCGAACCTTCCTCCTCAGAGTCAGCCTCAGATAAACAAAGGGTTTCTGTTCACACAGCTTATGGTTTTGTGTGAACAAAGGGATGGACAACATACTAAATCAAATCAACCCTGTGGCCAGATATACCTGGGCTGGGATTCCAGAGAAAGATCAAGATTTTGTTCTACTTTTACAAAGAAATAATCTAGAGCTTAAGTTTTTGGAAACCTAGCTGTGATTTTTTTTAATTGCATGTGAGCAAGTCTTCCCTCATGGCTTTCCAAACAGAAAAAAAAAAAATCTGCTTATTTGCCACTTAGTGACAGCGAGTGTCTGAACATGTTTCTCCTTTGAGACAGAAAGTACTGTACAGAATTTGCCGAAGCTGCCTTTTGTACTGCAGACACATCAATAATACTAAATCCCAGATTAGCAGATTTTTTCCAGTTCATGCACTTCCAATAACACACAAATCCTCAGACATTTCCTTTCTACAAATAAAACTGGTGCCAACCTGTACTGCCTGAAGTGCGCAATATTCGCACAGCCTTTGTATTTCTGCCAATGTGTGTATAGTTTGAAAATGATTTTATACCGATCATCAATCACCTGATTAAAAAGAGTCTGTAATTCTTACTCATGGCTACCTGCAGTGTTTTGTTGAGTCAAGAATATATTTACATAAATTGAAAACTGCTTCCAGAACTGTTTAAGAGAAAACACTGCTGCAATGTCAATTTCAACATGTACTGGGTACAATTACATGTAGTTCTTAGTAAAATGTTGATCCTGAATAATTAAAACTAACTATTCATTAAACTTTTTGAAGAAATTGAAAAAGTGAGTCTGTGACCAATAAGCTACCAAATCTTAAATACTTGTATTTCAGACATTTAAGCTTTTATTTGACAGAGCACCTGCTGGCTCACCAGGTTTGTCCCAGAGGTCAAAACTAATGACCAACACTCACCAAACCGCCTGTTCAAAGTCTACAGAAAGAAAACAGTTTGAGTCAAGTCAGCGTGAGGACTTTATTGGACTGAAGCAACAGTCAAAAACACTAAAAAAAACAACCTAAAAACAAAAAAGCTCTGGCATAAAACTGAGTGCATATTAACAGTTTTTAGGTTTTTGTCCCCATCCAAATACAGACTGCAGTACATCATTCTCACTGTATGCACTGGACCATTCAAAGTGTGTAATATATATATATAAAATAAAATGAACTATGAGAAGACAGAATCATTCCATTTTCTCTTCATGTGTCCGCTCCAGGTTGTGGGAATAGCAGCATTTGTCTCCATGGTTGCACGTTCCCTGGGGGAGACATCAATAGTAACATAAAAGAAAATACTCATGATGGACACTGATGTTACATTATAGACTCTACAGAAGCCAAAGGTCAGTTCTGACTGCTGGTGAAAGCACTTAGCTTCTCTGGCAGAAAACCAACAGCAAGCGGCGACCCACCATAGCAGCTGACGGAGAGGACTTTGTAACCTGCATGTCCTCGTGTTTCATTTCCCACCACGGACAGGAAGACTTTACCAGTGTGATTGGTATTAAAGTAACCGTCTCCACAGATGGAAGGTAAATGGTAATACCATCTGGGTAACTGTGAAAACGCAATTTCTTTTGGCCACTTGGGGGCAGAAATCCACAACAAACTGGATATTCCAAATGTCTTACCAAACCATTACCCATTTCCACATCCAGCAGATAAGGAACAACAACATCATTCATTCGGAGTCGTTTCTGTCCAATATTCACATTTTTTGCTCTGTTTTGATCTCCACCAAAAACATACCTGCTAAATGCTTCACTATGTTCACCAACTTAGTCGCTTACTTTGTCTTCAGTTTCGAGGTGGGTAGGCAGCGTGCAGTAGGTTTCAGGAGATCTGCTACTTTAAAGAGCTGCTTGTGTCCGTACAGTGGAGATGCGGGCCGTAAAAACCAAACCAATGAGCTGGGAAACGCTACAAGCGGGGGAACTCGGTATGAGCAACCCCTTTCATATTTACACAGTAATTTGACCCTTTGTTCAGATAAAAAATAAATAAAAGAAGATTCATGCAGCTTTAAAAAGGCTTTAAGACTTGGTAACAGCACACATTATTTATATATTTAGATTGATATTAAAAAAGCAAAAGTAATGGAGGGTAAATGCACACATTTTCCTTTGACTTCCTAACATCAATAAAACAAATGCAACAAAGAACATTGCTTTCTCTTATCGGGCTGGATAAGCTCGTGTGTTTAAAGCAATTTTCCACTTTTACCAAACACTTATCAGAGGTACAAGACAATGTTGATTCAACCTACAGCCAATTTAAGAACACGCTACAGTTACACTGTAATAGGTAGGCAGATGGGGGGATTTTTCTTCCAAGAATGGACTTCAGAATAATTCATACATCATTAATGAACTTTGGTGTCATTAAGGTTTATGTGAAGATGGGCATGTACTCAGCCGTCAGGGCGGATTTATCTTCCAGCACAAAAGTGATTTGATCATTTTACGTATAAAAGACACAGACAAATTGTTCATGTGTCAACTGCTGTTCTAGGAAAACAAATGAGTTAGTCTGGTCTTTTCAAGGAGAAAAAGGTCTGTTCTCGGAAGAGAGAGAAAAAAAATAAATAAATAAAAGGTTATTTCCAAGAAAATAGTCTTCATTACACAAGATGTGTCAAATGTTTAGCAGGAGTCGCTAATTAAAAGGGTTCTACCTACAGAAACCTCAGGAGAAAACAAAAGGAAAAAAAAAAGACATCCCAGTGCCACCCACTCTGTTTGATTGATAGGCAATGTTTAGGGAATGTCCACACATTCAGAAGTGTGATTACTTTATATAATAAATAACTGACTCCATGCATAACAATGTGGAACATATTAAGTCCTATATGTCCTAGTTTTAAGAGGCCGAATATATTTTCTCAGTCAAGTCTGATTTGATCTGCTCGCAGCTCACAGGTCCCTCTGTGCGGTTTCCTGCCTCTACGTGAACTGACCTGTCTGAACTTCTTGCAGGGGAAGTCTTTTAGCTGAGAAGAGTCTGTGCTCTGGTTCTTTCTCTTGTTCTGGCACTTCTTGCTCTTGTCCTGCAGGTCAGTGGAGATACCACCGCTGGAGGAGAGACAGGAGAGAAAAGGTTAGTGAGGGATGAAGGGAAGGGATGAAAATGAAGGAAATACAAATAAGATGAAGGTAGGAAGGAGATAAAGACAAGAGAAATGTAGAAAATTGAGAAGCAACATGTGCAAGGAGCAAAGCAAAATGGAAGAAGACTGAGGGAATTAATCTGATCCACAGCTTTATTCTCCAATTGTGGCTTCTATCTTTGACCATCTTCAAAAGTGTGGGTGTCTGTTGTGTGTTAGTCTGCCCATGTGTGTGTGTGTCTGTGCCGTTGGAGCATGGACGATGGGTTATTTACCCGGATTTGGCGCGAGCTTTCGGTCCCCAGAAGGCCTGAGGATTCTCCTGGAACCGGGTCAGGTGCCGTTTACGGGACTGAGGGTTGGCATCCTCCCTCACAGTGAAACAGGCTTCTTGACTGCACGCGCACACATACACAATCCAGCACAAAAGATGTTAGGCAAGCCACAAGGTTATACAAAATGTGGTTGTGTGAAACTTTAAATGTAAATAAAAAGTAGAAACTATCTCAGTGAGTATCAAACATTTGAAATTGTGGGCCTACTGAAGGGTCACTGATAAACTGGTTGGACGTTCAAGTCAAGGATGTGGTCTCACCTGGGCTCAGTGGAGAGGATCTTGAAAGCGGGGCTAGTCTCTGACAGCTTCTCCCTCTTCACAGGATTGGCCTTCTCCTGTGGAAGACAATCAATCAATCTAGTAGTATATCCTCAGCTTTTCACAGCAAATGCATAGCTGTGGTAATCTGTCTTTTGTAAATTAGTAAGGCTTACCCAGCATCTCATGATGTCCCAGAGGGCTGCAGGAGGAGCGTCCGTCTTGATGGCATTCTTACAGGCGTGAGAGAGGGAAACCCTGTGACCAGCATGTAGGAGAGCAGACCTGCAGCAAGAGGCAGAATCAGTTGATTCAGTGTGCAACTAATGTAGGGTAGGAACAGCTGACAGTGAAAGGTTTAGGAACAACAGGCAGCTAAAAACTGGGTTAGCTTATTAGCGTAGTTGACCAAAGTTTAAAACTGCTAATTAATTACATTTTTTCATTAATTATTTTTTGGGGGCTGTTTGATAGCAGCAGAACATGCAAAAATATAACATTATTTGAACCACTGAAAAAACTGAGATGTAGACAGCGTATCAGAGGTCAGGACACCAGGAGATAAACCAAAAACTATGGAGCTAAAAGGTGTTAAAAATGTGTTATAGAACTGGGGGTGGGACCGCCGAGTTGTGCAATTATTCTCTGTGGGTTCACTACAAACACCTTTCACGTTACAAATAGTTATTTGAGCCACAATATGGATGAGTGCAGCTTTAAATTGAGATAATATAGACAGTATAATCCAGGTAAAATAGATAGCCAGCCTCCCATTATTCATCCATATATTTAATTTAAAGTTTGACCAGGTTTCAGTATTTCTAATACATGTTTTCCAGTTAAATAAGTCAGTCCAAAAACCTTGTAGTTCTTATCTGTGCCATTTAATTCAACCTATGACAGAATATCAACAAATGCACTGTAGTTTCTTGACACCACAATATACGTGTGTGTGTGTGTGTGTGTGTGTGTGTGTGTGTGTGTGTGTGTGTGTGTGTGTTTTTACCTAAACTGGAGCAGGGGTGGAGTATTGCAGTGTATTGTGCTGCTCAGACTGTCCACAGTGTAATAAAGAGGCACATCTTCCAACTCCTAAAACAAACAGCATTATTAGGCGTGTCTAGCAAGCAGTAGGAACTAAAACTGTCAGTAAGTAAGATTTATCACACTTAAATATATACACAATGAAGTTACCTGATGTAATTAACAGCACCCACATAACACCAAAATATGAAAACCACCCTTAAATTAGAGCTTATATAGAAAGGAAAATGATTACCTCAGTCACCATGCTGAGCATGCCCTCAATTCGTTTGGATGTCCCAAATCTGGACGGGTTCCCTGACACAGCAGACAAAACCTTCTGGACAAATGCCAAGTCATGGATGGGCTCTGCCCACATAGGACCACCCAGCTACAAAAAGGACAGACACAGGGTTCAGCTGGTGTATTGTACAGTATGTGTTTGAACAGTAATACCTATAAACAAACAATGTTGACACCTGCCAATAGAGTGCATTCTCACTAAAAATAGGAAATTAGGTATAAATGCTAAGAATACATTTACAGACTGAAGCTGCATCATGCAAAACTACACTGAATAAAATTATAAACGCAACACTTCTGTTTTTGCCCCTATTCATCTTGAGCTGAACTCAAAGATCTAAGACTTTTTCTATGTACACAAAAGGCCTATTTCTCTCAAATGTTGTTCACAAATCTGTCAAAATCTGTGTTAGTGAGCATTTCTCCTTTGCCGAGATAATCCATCCACCTCACAGGTGTGGCGTATCAAGATGCTGATCAGACAGTATGGGTATTGCACAGGTGTGCCTTAGGCTGGCCACAATAAAAGGCCACTCGAAAATGTGCAGTTCCATCACACAGCACAATGCCACAGATGCATGCTGACTGCAGGAATGTCCACCAGAGCTGTTGCCTGTGAACTGAATGTTCATTTCTCTACCATAAGTTTCAGAGAATTTGGCAGTACATCAACCGGCCTCACAACCGCAGTCCAGCCCAGGACCTCCACATCCAGCATCTTCACCTTCAAGATCGCCTGAGACCAGCCACCCAGACAGCTGCTGCAACAATCGGTTTGCATAACCAAAGAATTTCTGCACAAACTGTCAGGAAAAGTCTTAGGTAAGCTCATCGTCATACTCATCGGGGTCTCGACCTGACTGCAACTTTGCACAGCCACTGAAGAGGAGTGGACCAACATTCCACAGGCCACAATCAACAACCTGATCAACTCTATGCAAAGGAGATGTGTTGCACTGTGTGAGGCAAATGGTGGTCACAGTAGATACAGACTGGTTTCCAGACTCCTCCTGACCTCCCAATACACTGAAACTGCACATTTTCGATTGGCCTTTTATTGTGGCCAGCCTAAGGCACACTTGTGCAATACCCATGCCGTCTTATCAGCATCTTGATATGTCACACCTGTGAGGTGGATGGATTATCTCGGCAAAGGAGAAGTGCTCACTGACATAGACTTTGACAGATTTGTGAACAATATTTGAGAGAAATAGGCCTTTTGTCTACATAGAGAAAGTTTCAGATCTTTGAGTTCAGCTCATGATGAATGGTGGCAAAAACAAAAATGTTGCGTTTAACCAATAATAAAAGCAAATTTCCATGTGTATAACTTACTGAATACTGAACATACAAAGAAAGAAAGAAAGAAAGAGAAAGAGAGTCACACCTGATGTCTCTGTCCACAGTGCTCACACTCTGGTCCAACTGGGGGTCCGGTGGCTGGAGAATACTTCATACTGAAATCACAGCAGATTCATCTTTACTACACACATGCTGTCAACCACAAGCAGATACAAGAGACATAACTCAGTTTTTTTAACAAGAGTATAGTGACTAGTGACTCTGTGAGATCATACTTGCGCACTGCGGTACTTTGAGCTTGATGCTAATATCCATGTGCTAAAAACCTTACAATGGCTGTGCTAACATACTGATGCTAAGCCGGTCTAATAACTAGCTATTTGCTAAACCATTTACCGTATCAAAGTGTTTATTCTAAGCAGATTCTACAGCAGGTGAGTTTGCTGAAAGCTACTCCTTCATTTTACATTGTCATTTCATAGCAGAAAGACCCAGCTGTACAGTGTAGACTGCCTTACTGTTTTCCATTGCTTGTTCTCCTGCCCATTCTCTGTAAGTGAAAAGACCCGCAGCCGACACAGTTGTAGACCAGAGCCTGTTTACTGCAACACAAGACAGGGAACATTTAAATACTGTGTTGTTTGTGTTTTTCCTGTGTATATGTAAGCATGAATCTGCACAGCTGTTCATATGGATACAGGCACATTAAAAGTATGTTCCGTTTGTAAAATCTGTGTCTGGTTCGTTCTTTCAGTATTTCGTTTCAAAAACAAATCTGAAAAACCAAAACAACCCAAGTCGTTTTTTGGTTTGAAAACCAAAACGGCAAACAAAAAAAAAACAACAAAAAAACAGACACCTGTTTTGTTTTTCTGTTTTAAACCCGTAACGGAAAACAAAGTAACTGCGTTTTGTTCCATCTTTGACCAGTGTTGTATCCCTACAACATGGTCAAGGCCTATCAGCGTTTATAACGCACTGGGGATCCCTATAGCGTCATAGGTCAACGCCGTGGGGGAAGCCCTGTAGCAGTTTGTGACAGTAAAGGCAGGTATGATATTTAACGTGTTAGAACATAGTTGGGGTGAGAGGAGGGCCAGGACCTTTGAATCAGGAGACTTGTGTTCGTGTATCCTGTGAAACAAAAAGTCTATATTAGGCTAAATATTTTTATATAAGGCTTTTCAGGTCGCATCGCATATCAACTGTGGCGAATATGACTGTAGAAGTGAGCACTATATTACAGAGCCTCAAACACTCAAAATTCTACGTCAGCATCAAGGAAGCGTTTTGTTTTGGGCTGATCTGAAGCAGCCGTTTCACTGAGCGATCTAAGAAAATAACCGAATGTTTATCAAAAGGTTTTTTCCCCCTCAAGGCTACAGCCAGGGTGCAACCTCCTCTCCCTGTACGCTCAAGCCCCCCCGCTCCCCCTCTGTTCACCCCACTATGGGTTGTGTTGCCAGTGGAACCGGCGCACTGGATGATCAGTGGTCGTTCCCTCTGGCTGGATGAAGTCTGAGCTCCTGATTTTACGCATAATTTGTGCGCAACTTACTAAATTCTTCCATCTCACAAAGAAAAGAAAGGTCGGATCGAAACAGTGTAGCAGAGGTGTGACTCAGTCTCAAGTCTTAGCACTCAAGTCCCAAGTCCGGACCGATCATGACTGGCAAGTCAGTACAAAGTAAAATACAGCTCACCGAATTAACCAATACCAGTTCATGTTTGCTGTGTACCATTGAATGTACTGACAACTTGGCCATCACTGAATTCATTTGAGAAATCTTAAAAACCAGAGGATTCGCAGGAAGAAAGCGTTCCTGCTGCTAGTGAGTTACAAAATGAACGTTGAGCCAATATTATATACATTCAGCCTCCAGTACTGCAGCTATATAATAATATTGTCCCGTTTTTCTAACTAAAAACCCACTTATGTTGATGCTTACATTCAATCAGGCACCGCCATCGCCCAAGTGTATCTGCTGCAGGTTCATCAAGTATAATACACAAAGCTCCACAAATCGGACTCATTAAATATCAAAATCAATGTTTTTCCATTTTGGTTTTTCTGATTCGGTTTAATGAAAGAATGAACCATACACGGTTTGTCTGGCTTAATATCCTCATTTTGACTCTCCTTACAATTCACCTAAATAATCAACATTCAATTTTTTCTATATTTCTAATATTTTTCATTTTCTAATTTTCTTTATCGCACCAAGTTCTGCTGTGGCCATTATTTTTAGTATTTGTTGCTGCAGTGACCCAGTTTTCAGTTCATTCAACTTTCATCATATGTGAGCCTTTGTTAGATGACAGCACAGTGTATGTGTGTTTGAGTGAGCACCTGGCCGAGTTTTTGACTGTGGCCTGTCCTGTGAAGACACGTACAAAGACCCTAATGTAAAAGTCGACACTGACGGACAGCAGGGGCTGGATGTATCGCTGGTGCACCCCTGCCCTCTGGTCTAAACTGTGGAGGATGATGCGAAGAGCCTGCAGGGGAAAAGGAAAGACAGACACACTTTCTTGTTCTTTACTCTTTGATGTGAAATGTCTGAGAAAGTCAGATATGTTTGCACCATTTGCAAGGCAAAAATGAAGATTATAAGTTGAAATAATATATGAGGGAAACATATTCTGCTGGTACTGCTCTCATTATTGAAGTCCTCCTCCTCCTGGAGAAGCTTGACTCGCGTGAAATTAATGAATTGCTCAGACATAAATTCAGTGTTATTAAAAACAAGTATTTGTGATCATAATAATGAATAACAACATCCCATTACTGACAGACTTTGTGTTTGCAAGAAATAGTTATTTTGTTACTTTTTTGATTTATATAATGATTATCACCAGCACACTTGGTATCCATCAACACTAAACTGTTATTTATGAAGAAATCAAGAATAAATAAGGGAGAGTTCCTTTATTTATAAGTGACTATCACTGCGTACTTCCTCCATCCAGCTATTCTAGATAACCGTTTTGGCCGAGTGGTCTCTTAATGCAAAGTTTGGGAAAAATCAAATAAATCTACCATCCAGCGGCCAGCAGTGCCGATTACCACAGAAGATCCTGATGCATTCCTGTCTGTTCAATTATCCTTCCAAACCAGAAACAAATCAATTATGTGTAGATTTTTTACAAGATTAAAATTGTCTTTGGATGGAAAAAGCTTTCATTTGTGGAAAAATTTAAGAATCCTGGTGGAAATTAGTGCAGTTTCTTTTAGATCATTTCAGCTTTGTGACCCTGGGTCTGTGTTTTGCGGTCTCCTTTTTTGTTCTGCTGCTGCCACTACGGTGTGCCAAAGTTAGAAATCTTCAAATTCAAAGTTGGAATCTCATAAAATCAAACCCTGCTTTTAGCTATAGCCGTTTAATGGATTTAAACAATTACCTCTCAGTATAGTTGCTTTTTTATTGACATCAACTTCACCGTTTACTTTTACTCTTCCCAGTTGAATCAGAGCTGTATTAAAATACTGCTAATGCAATCCAAACATTTCCTACTGCTGCTGTATTTGTCACAGCGCTAGCTTGGATCATTCATAAAAAAATGATAATTTTTAGCATTTTGTGACAAAGAATCAGTTTTAAATAGTGCAGGGAGTAAAGAAACAAAAGAACAGCCACAGTGAGCTGCAGCTGAAGAGCTGCAGGCGACAGGCTTCACACCACCAACTCCTCAGAAATGTAACTAACTTAACTGTGCCCTGCTGCTGTGTGGAAAACTACTTGCACGGTGCACAGCATGAAATCAGATCAGTGTTGCCCATGGCATGATATTAAAAGGGCAATTATTGACTGACTTCTGACTCTAATGTGAGTTTGTACACAGACGCCTCAGATGCTCTTCTATTGTATTTCTAAAAAAAAAAAAAGCTGCTTAAGTGTTTGCTGCCCCCAGAATTCTGGGACCTGGTATAACAAACCACACTTGCTTTTACTACCAGTAATACAGGGGTCTTAAACTTTAAGGATTATAACACCAGGAGGAGCAAAATGTCATCAGTTTGAAGGATTTATCATCATCTTTCTATCCTTGTGAAAAGAGTCCCCTAGTGAGTATATAAATACAAGCACACACAAAAATCCAGTTCACCAACTTGAAGCCACAGGCAAGAATCCATGATAACATTTAGTGTGTTTCTGTCAGAGCCACACACACACACACTCTGCATGCACTCATTCACAGAGGATCAAGACATGATGAATGCAAACATGGTGACATGTCTGTGCATGTACTCTATGCATTTTGTGTGTGTGTGTGTGTGTGTGTGTGGGTGTGTGTGTGTACTCTGTGCCCTCACCATCTCATGACAGTATCTGGCTTTTATCGAGACTGAACCATATTTGCTATAGCAGGTCTCTCCACTGTTTCCTGCCATCACCGCCATGTCTGTGCATGTTATACACAACAAACCTGAGAGAGAGAGAAAGCAGGAAATATAAAAAGGTTGCACCACATGGGTGGAGATTTTCAAAACGGGGCAGTTCAGATAGCGTCAGATTGGCTGTCAAGTCTAAACACCATTCATTGTACTGTCCTACAAAGCCAACTCATTGTGAGACTCAAATGGGATAAAAACCAAAGACGACTTATTTCACAAACAATATCTGACCTACTTCCGATCTGAACTGTCAGGCTGATTTTATGCCAACTTTTGAAATGTCATGAAAAATAAAATGCAATTTAAGTGCATGTTTTTTACTGGGTGAAAGCAAATAAACACATTTTATGAAGGTCAACAAAATCCACAAGAGAAATTATGAGTTTAAAAAAAGGGACGGATTAATAATGCGCAACGTAATACTGTTTGAAGATGTCTGTGAATATTCCCAGTCACCCAGGCCATAGTTATCCAACAAGTGTTAAATCAAGGGCAACTGAACTGTTTTTATCTTAAATAAAACTCTCTTTATTGAGGTAAATACGTCAAATTAATGTGAGACTATATTTGCCTGTTTTATTCCAATCAGATAAACTACAAAAATCACAGCTCTGTTTGTCCAAATGTTACTCATAAAAAATGACAATGCCATCTGGTCTGAGGATGAATTAAGAAAGGATCTGAATCTGTTCTGACTGTCCATGGTGATCTACCCCATTTTGTGGGGACTAATAAAGACAAATTGCTGAACTAATAATCGTGTCACTAACAGTCAAATTCAGGCTTTACATCTCGAGGTGTGTTACATAATATTTCATCCTACGTGCCAGCTTGAACAAAGATCAGCCATTCCTGCATACACACTCCATTTATACTGATGAAATGTGATTTGATCTCCACTTTCTAAATTCACAACATGATAATCTAAAGAATCTTGCATGAAAACAGTGGAAATACTGTGAAACAGTAGTTTACTATCAAACAATTTTAACCCCAAAACACTCTGTGAGACAGAAGAATGAAAAGCAGAAGAGATTGACAGACTGAACTACCCACCTCCTTCACTGACGGCCTGCACAGCAGCATCCAAGAAGGAAGCAGGGCTACCATAGGGATCCAGGTCGATTACATCATAACGCTCCTTCTTCCCTCTCATCTCATACATAAGCATACTGGAGAAATGTAAAAAGAAAAAGAAATATTAGCCCACATAACCCAAAGACAGAAAATAATTTAAATATGGAGCAGAGAGGGACAAGAACAGAGAGGAGTAGAAACAACATGAGTCAAGCCAGTTAAAAAGAAGAGCAGAGTAGTTCAGAGAAGAAAGAGGACAAAACGGCTTAAGAGGATAGATGAAGAGAGGCATGAATACAAGCAAGCCAAAGAGGAGAGCGACTTGACTGAAAGAAAAAGGCCAAAAGAGTTCATAAAAAAAAGAACAGCAAAGAGACAAGTATGGAGGAGATGAGAACATGATCAGAGGCATGAATAGAACAAGAGGTCAAAGGTGAAGACTGGGGAGGAAAGACGATGAGAGAAGCATTGGACAAATACAAGAGGAGGAGGAACTAACAGACAGCAAATCAGTGAAGCAGATAAATAACAGGGGCAGAGGCAGACTAGCGGCAAACAAGCTTTTCCCTGAATGTGCTGCGTAATCATACCTGGCATCCCTGCAGCTGGCCTGGAGCAGGTGGCTGACTCCGTTGTACTGGGCATTCCTAGCAATCAGCGCCGCAGCCTTGGTGGAGAAGTCGTTGGCGGTGACGCTCTGCAGGCCCGGGACTTCCAGAGCGAAACGCACCGAGCGCAAACCGGACGCCGCCAGACCCTCCAGCACGCGAAGGCCCCGCTGAAATGGAGAGTTGAGGAAACAATCTTGATAAAGCCGCGCAGAGTCATTATTTGACCACTTGGCAGCAGCAAAAACAAGCTGTACACCCAACATGGATGCATTCCATAAAGTTGATGATATTGCAAAACATGGTAAACTGTAGCTTATTTTGACATCCAGCAGACACAGAGCAGCATTACCATTAGTTCGAAGTTGTTTTTGTGTCCACCTGATGAATGTAAGTCCAACTTTCACACTGCTTTTAGCTCTGTTTTGGTCTCTACAGCCACTGAGTGCTCCACAGTGTCCCTCTGCTCAATCACTTTGTCTGTTGTTGAACAGGTTGTGTTCATTTCAGTGAAAACAGCTGCCTACTTCATCTGGAAACAACGTCGGTGAGATTCATGTATCATTTGATCATGATGTTAGTATGAAAATATTGTTTATAGCAGCTATAAAGCTGCAGTACCACATGGTTTTGTGACAGGCTGAATTCCAATAGTAACGGAGAACTTTCTTTACTCCTGTAGTTCAGAAGCTATACCTATTAATACATCTAAATAGGCTGTGGCAGATCACAAGGCTGGTGGTTCAATCCCCACCTACTCCTGTCCACATGCGGTCATAGTGTCCTTCGGCAAGACACTGAACCCCAAATTGTCCCCGATGTGTGGCAGCGCCGTGCCATCAGTGTGCGCATGAATGGGTGAATGAGCTGCAAAAACCTTGTAAAGCACTTTGGATAAACATATTATATAAATGTACTCATTTACCATTTAATCACTGGTAGGGTGTTTATCTTTGACTAGAATTGGTGAACTGAAGCTCAAACAGCAAACCTGATCATTCAATCCAGAGAAAGCGCCATTCACCAACAAAGGCTGAACATCTTTTGCACCTCTGTCAGTAAACAATAGGCTAAAACTCAGATCTTTACTGACAGCTAATGACATTATTTCAACATAATTAAATCCTCCAAACTTCCAAAAACTGATCTAATTACCCCTCTGTACCTCTTGGGGCCAACAGAGTGTGAAATTACCTGACGCTGCATTACCATAAGTCTGTTTGATGGAAGCCCTCATCCAAACTGTAGTTAGTACTTTGTTCCAAGCTTCAGAACCACACTCACTGCCTCAGAACATTGGATTTGTCAAAAAAAAAAAAAAAAAGTATAATTAACCAGTATGTTGTACAGGTACAATTTATATTTTGTGCCTCAATTATTGTAGACTTACACACGAAGAGAAACTTACTTTAAAACCGGTTTGAGAGAAATAAATATGTATTTGTAGCAGGGAAATAAATAAACATAAGGCAATTTGTCATTTAAACTGGATAAACTGCATTCGTATATTTCTAAATACATTATTTCCATTAATAAATTCATTCAGTGACTAAGGTAATTGTAGCAAAAAAAATCTGCTACTTTGCAATTACACTGTAAAATCAATCCTACATACCTCACATTTCTCCCCCACTGTTACAGTTACAGCTGGCTCATCTGCTCCGTTTTTCTCCTCTGTCTGTACGTCGGCCTCGTTCATCTCCTCTGAGAGAGAGATCACCACCCTTTCTTTCTCTCCAGGCACCACCACTTTCATCCCGCGCTGAGCCAGCAGATCTCTGGCAAACTCTGTGATAACAGCACATCTGGGAAAGGGAAAATGAATGCTTAAATAGAAGCATGCGGTGCATATATCATAACACAGTAAATAACAGAGCTAACTAAATATTCATGACATTTGCTTTCATCCAAACACAACTTTGGCGATTCTTGCAAATATTGTTTCAAATCAGCGAGCTGTTGATAGTACATTTTTTATCTCCAGCGAGGAGGCTATGTGCTCAGTCCTCTGTGTTGTTTTGTAGTTTGTAGAAAATCACAAAAACTACCAAACAAATTTTGATGAAACTTCATGTTGCTAGAGGCAAAGAAAGAACGGTTTGACTTTTGGTCCAGATTGCACCACCATGTGGCCACTGGCACTTTGGTGCTACAACATCGCCATGAATTACACTGGCATTAACTGGTTATGAGTCTGACTTTTTTGAAACTACAGATAATTCCTTGTTGTGCAAAGGCTTAACAGGATTTAGATACTTTAAGAATTAGCAACCATGTCTTTTTTGGTGCAGATTCAACACAGACATTTTCTATGATTACATCAATACTACTATCATTTTTGCACAATTGTTCATTATAATACACACAGGGGTTTTGGCATTTATGGTCTGGTATGACCAGCCACCATGGTGGCTAATGTTACCTAATGCTTCAGTAGGACGCTTTGGATATACAGAATATTGATGAGCTATTTGAATCTCTACTTCTGCTCCTGTTACACTACATATAGTAGTATAGTACTGAAGAATGTAGCTATTCAGCTTCAGTTATATAGACGTTTGTATGTACTTGGCAGAGGTATACACTTTCCAGTTTAACAACCTAGCATGTTGCAAAGCATCATGCCAACTTCCCAATGATATTTAAATTGATGACAAGCCCAAAGATATCTTCACTGTACTGAAACACGTCATACTTAATTAATCTAAGAGACTTAGACTGTGGTGTAAAGAAATGACGTGTCTTCTGGGTAAATGCCAAAGCAGCCCTTGTTTATGCTTACGTCAGATCTCTGTTAAACTCCTGGACCGGATTGTAAAACACCTCATTAGCACTGGGAAACAAGATGGCCGCCTTGCCCTCCTTGACCACCGTCTCCCCAGGTAACAGTCCTGCAGGAATCGTCTTCTCTGCGTCAGCTGCTGTGTCGGTGGTTGCCAGGCTCATACTTTCTGCTGAAGATTCAGCAGGAGCGGGTGGAGGTTTGGCGTTGGGAACATCGGAGTCCTGAGCAGTTTTCTGGGGTTCCATGAATTTCAGTCCCCTGCTGGCAGCAGCAACACTGCTCCTCCAAAACGTCTGTCTGGCAGAATGGGCGCAGGGAGGATGCAGACGATGGGAGATGATGAGGGGGAGCAGCCGAGCAGTATGCACCAGCATAAAGGTACACCGTCTCTATAAAAAAGACAAAGAACATGAAAACTCTCTAGTGGTGTGCAGATTAAATATAGAGCCCATCACACGCTGGACTTTTGCCGTTAATACCAATGTCAACATATAAACATTTCTGATGGGAATGTCTTTGTTTATAATTCTAAGGGTTAATGTAAAATTGTGACCAAAACATGTACTAAGCTTGATTTTTTTTAATCAATTATTAGACTAGTAATAAAGTAAGACTTTTACACATCATTTAAATGACCTCTTTTTTAAAGTGCCTTTAGCTTTGTGTCTTTCACTACAAACTTACAGTGCCTGATATTCTGGTAAGGCTGCAACAAAAACAAAACATATCCAGATCTCAAGATGATGTCTTCAAATCTCGTTTTGGCCAACCAACAGTATAAAAACACGAAATATTCAGCTTATATTGATATTTAAACCAGAAAAAGACTATTTGGCACTTTTCTCTTATAGACGACTTAAATTATTTACTGACGATCAAATATATACTTTATTAATACGGTTATGTTATTCGACTAATAGATCAATTAAAACATATATATATATATAACGTTACATATAGTTTCAGCAGTAGACCCTGGATTAAGTAGCTAAGACTTGCCATCTGACCCGTGGCTTTACTTTTCCTTTAGCTTCGAACACAGTAGTTAGTTTTCATGTAAAAATGTTTGTTACTTTGGCTAAACGAAAGCAAACTTCAGCTATTAAACAAGACAGAAGATGATGCATAATGTTACTTCAGACCAGCAAAGGCATTAGCTGGTTAGCTAACTAAGCTAAGCTTTGTAAACAGATTTACCTGTGGCACCCCCTCTAGGCAGACACTGCTTTCCTTATATGATAGAAGTTTTATTCTAAAAGCGATGCAGGTGGTCGTGCGGTGACTGTTTCCTCAGTGTTGCAGTGTATGCTGTTATTCCAGTCCACTCTCACGTTAGCACATGGAAGCAGCCATGTTTGGTGCGTCTCTACGGAAGCCCGCGCGGCCATTAAATAGAAGCGGTAACGCTGCTCCGACCCTCCGGCAGAGACGTGCATAATGTCAGGAAAACGGTGTAATCTAAGGACAAGAGAGAGAGGGTCGATCAGTCAGCCGCCGCACACACTGGCGTACTTTCTCCCCGCAGCCAACATGTGAGGACGGCGAGGACACTGGACAACACATCAGTATGCTTTCATGAATAATCTAATTTAATCTCGCCGTGCCTGAAGTTGGTGATGCATTCTGATGAAAAGGCTAAACATAGCCTATGGATTAACCAAAATATCCCAGACCTATGATGTGAGGAGATAAAAACTACCTTAGAGAAAATAAGGTTAATGCAGGTCAGTAGCCTACTGAGCAGCTTATGGGAACGGCAAAGTGAATTTAGGTCTTTAAGAGTGATGCTTAAGGAGAATAAATAAAAGTGTTGCTCATATTTTAAATCTTGTAGCAGGCTACTGAGTGCTGTCATATATGCTAAAAAATGTATAGGCTATAGAAAGTTGACAACGCATTTTTTTAATTAATTATAATGTGTGTTAAATAAACATTTTAAAGATTTGTCTAGGCTAAAATTTTTGCCGTTCCCTTTGTCATCAAACATAAGGTAGCCTACATTTTATTATTGCCAGTGAGCAAGGCTTGCGACCAAACTGCATGGGAAGTAAAGGCATACTGTGTCTGTCTAGTCTGTCAAATCAAAATTGGTTTAGAAACCATAAACACAGTAGGCTATCACCTAACATAAGGGGTCTTGTGAAAGAGAGCCAACGAGTCAAAGATCTTCATTATTCCAGGTTTGTGCTTAGCCTATATGTTGCATATTCAATCAATCAATTTACCAGACAACAAACCTGGGGCCAGCAAGCACTGTTCCTGCACTGAAAAATTGCACACATTGCAAAGGGCATGGAAAGAATGTGGATGTCGATAGGGGCCCATGCAACTCATTTTTGCCCAGAGCGGGTAAATGTGATTTTAACATCCCTGGTGGAAAGTAAGTAATTAAATTTACTCATTTAGGCTATTGTCATTAGGTACATATGCTTTAGGCTAGTTGAATATTTTATGTAAATTTATACTTCTATTCCACCACATTTAAAAGGCACATTATAATATAATCATATTATAGGCTACATTATGCATTTACAGTATAGTTGACAGCTTTAGTTACACCTTGCAGATTCATATGATCATTAAAAAAAAAAAAAGTTTTCTATATATAAAATCAACTCCATTCAACCGGCAATCTTTATAATGAGTATTTTTACTTTTGGTATAGGCCTACCTCAATATTTTACTGATAATAAACACTTGTTGCATTACATCATAAAGCTCATACATTTAGAACTTAAAACTTAAGCGTTTACAAATTGATTTTTGAAGATCAGTGTGTTTCAAAATGTAAGGCTTCAGAATTTATCTTCCAAAAGTTTACTCCTGAAACACCATTTTAACTTTCATGTCCAAGAATGCTTGAACAGATTCCTGAAAAAATAAAATAAAAAATCCAAGTAATTAAAAAGAGAGATCTGTTATGGTATGGCTACAAAATTATTTGAGGGTGTTGAGGGACTCATGACCATATCACCAAAATCCTGGCTGGAGCCCTGCTTGTAATCTTTACAGTGCGGTACTTCTGCCACTGCCTCACACATAGTAGCCTAGCCTATATTGAAAAGGAATATTCATTCAAGTTTTTCACATTAGCTATCATCCACCAGCACGCTGTTTTAGTGGTTTTCAACCAGTTTTCATAAAATGGGACGTGACTGTGGATAGGGGGAAAAACTGCCTCCCTCCACTGTGTTGTATGCACACAAGCCTGGAGCCTGAACATCTGGATGGGGGCGCTGTGGCAATAAATGCCCAGAGAGCGTGACGCTATACATCTGACACAGGAGAATTATAGAGTTAATAGTATTTGGCATGACAGGGAGAGAGAGCGGGGAGCGCAGTGCTGAGCCTGAATGCAGTCTCATCCTGTTTAGTATTCGCTGTGCACAGCGCCTGGAGGCCCCGGAGGGCTCACCTGCCCGGAGTCTAGACGCACTATCACACACATTAGAAAGCGGGATCGAACCGGCCCCCTGATCCACGGTCCGTGCGGTGTCGGCCAGGAGAGAGTCGGTTTCACCACCTAAGGGAGAATACAGCCCGGTGAGTAGCCTATAGTGAGTGGGTGTACTGGTGGGTGGGGCTCAGACACTCGGGTCGGCTGGGGACGCTGCCTGTCTACCTGCCTGCAGCGGTGCTTTGGCTCAAACCTTCAAATACAATCGCATTACTTTATAGTTGCAATACCTGTTTTGTCAGACTACATTAGTCGTTACATTAGATATCACATTATCCCCGCTACAAAAAATGCCCATTCCTCTTTTAGAGATTTAAAATAAAATAATAGCATATAGGCTTATATAAAATGAAAATAAGTGTAGAAAGTCAAAAATAACGCAATAAAAACATTTATTTTAGTTATTTCACCATTGTTTTGATTGGGTAAAAATAACAGCATGTCCACGTGCACTAAAGTCAACTTTTCTGCCATTACTGTGCCAAGTTATTTTTAGTAATGCTGAGGTAAACAACTTGAATGTGGAGGCGAGCCCATAATTTACCTTCAACCATGATGTTGAAGGGTTTTGGTGACAAAAGTGTGGATTTAATGAAGTCTACTTTGATAACCACCCAGGTAAACGCACATTTTACTTTGGGTTAAATTATCAGAATCAGAATCAGCTTTATTGCCAGGTATGTGTTGACTCTGGATTGTACAATTCTAACGATGTGCTACACAATAATACAATAACCCAATAATACAGGCTACAGTATAGAGAACACATATATATACACACACACACTATAGACTAAATTATTACACTGACGAAGCTTAATTTATTCTGACTGACTAAGTATTACCAGGTATGTGCATAATTAGTCTACATAGTTTAAATGCACAAAATCGTTTTTAGGGGGGGAGTTTAAGGTCTGAGAATATAATACTTTCTGTTGTTGATGGGAAGCAGTCCAGTTCGCCCGCGTTATTTACCGTAGCCTCACTGTTGGTATCTGAAATGACAGTATCCTACATAATGTGCAGTGTTAATTCCTTAAACCGCTGGCAAAAAGTAACGAGACGGTGCAGACAGCCTCCCCATCTATATGTCTGTCTACCTGTCTGTCTAGCCGATCAGTAGCTCTGCGATCTGTGTGCAACCCCTGGGAGAGTTAAAAAAAAAAAACAAAAAAACCGCTCTGCTCCTCTGCGTCCCCCTCCTCGATAACTCTTCGCTCTTCTTCTCGCCTGCATCTGCATGTGTAAGTGCGTTAATGCCCCCCACCCCCCACCCCCCCACTCCCAGCGCGCGCACGTGTAAGTATGTACGTGTATGCATGAATTGCGTGCTCCGGCTGCTGGTTCACAGCATACAGTCACAATGAATGGCTGCCTGTAGCGAGGCGGAGGGAGATACAAGACTGCGCTGGTCCTCCATTGAAACACTTTCCAGCGGAATACAGCCGAGGGGGTGAGTTGAGCGCGGCGGGTCACCGAGGACAACGGTTCGGGCTCGGCCGGCGAGACGGTTCAGTCAGTTGTCCGATCCCAGAACTGTATATATATGTGTGTGTGTGTGTGTGTGTGTGTGTGTTGGGGGCTTCTTGATTTCGGATGGGTGAATTTGGATAGAGGGTGGTGTATGGTCTGCGGCGGTGTGTTGAAGTGTGGGTTAAGCTATTGTTTTTTTTGTTTTTTTTAGGGGATGGGGTGGTAAAGTTGTGCTAGCTACTATGGGGGATGGGCTCATGGGGACAGACCAAACTTTAACCACTTAACACCGGCTTCACTCACTCGTCGCCGCGGTCGGACTTGCCCCCGCCTCCCCCCTTTCCCTCGGTGAGTGACTTGACGAGTCATCCGCTCCTCTTTCGCCCGCATTCCTGAACTTTTATGAAAAACAACTACTTGGTGTTTGGGGAAGGGGTGCAGTGCTTCTCCTCAACACGCCTGCGTTTGAAAACCGCAGGCAGTCGTTGATTCGCCCAGTGGCTTGGTGTCCTGTCGGTAAAACGGGTTAAGATTGTACAGCCAACCCCCTACTTTCCTTTCCCCTCCTCTCATCTCCTCTCGCCATGCCGGATCCATCCGTCTGTCTCGCCCACAGTTGCAGCGCATTTGTGTCCCGGGATGACCTGTTGATGTCGGCTAAAGATGGAGTGCCAGCATAGCCCTCCGCTATAGAGCCCCTCTCATCTCCGGTTAAAAAATAACGTTAACGCTTAAAGATTCACATCGGAGTTCATTCAACTGACCGTAACGGTAGTCTGCGTGGCCTCCTGGGTCCCATTGTGATTTAATAATGTGTTCGCTTTGAGAAATCATAAGCGACATTTTGGAGGGGAGGGGGGGGAAACGCGTGTCTGTCCCGTATCGGTAGCTGCCATTCGGCCGGCGGAGGAGGAGGGAACTCGGTCTAAACGGACATCACACCGCGCTGGCACGGACAGAGGGGAGACGGGGATAGCGCCGAGCTTCTGAATATTTGATCCCCTCGTCTATTTTTGTGTTACTCGGGCGATAAACGTGTGTTTGTGTTTTGGGCTTTGGGGCTGAGGAGGGGAGTTGGAATCAGGGTTGGAATACAAAATAAAGAAGAAGAGCTCTTTTTATTTATTTTTATTTTTTTTGTTCCTTTTTCCGCTGCCGCCCGCTCGCTCCCTCCCTCCGCTGAACGCACACACACACACACACCACCGGCCCGGCCCAGGCGAGGACTCCCAAATCCTACCGGGCATCGAGGCTGGCACACGGCGGGGCACCGAGAGCTCTCTGCCCGTCCAGACTGCCCTGCTGCCCCGCTGGTGGCGAGCTCAGTCTCTCTCTCTGTCGCTCTCTCGAGGCATCCACCGGCGAGACGTCGACTCTGCCAGACTTTCATGTGAGATTAATTGATGTATAATTGATGTGTATAAATAACATTTCGTTTTTGAAGTTTCAGCTCTTAGTCGTGCTCAAGGGAGGCTACACTATAGCCACATTTTGGTGTCTGCCTACCCACGAGTGTCGGTAAATACAACATGTTCAGCCTTAAATGTCTTTGAACTGAAAGCCACACAAGGCTGGAATTTAGTACACGTGATTTAAAGACATGTTTGCGAATTAAATGTATAGGTGAAGTGTTTTACTAATGCCAGTGTTAGCCTTAGCTTTAGCTTGCTACTTGCTAACAGGCCACCTTTAACCTCTCTAAACCAGGAAACTCAATATGATGAGGTTGCCATTGATGCTGATATGACATGCTGTGTTATTATTGATTCATATAGTTTCTTGAGGTTGATTATATGCCAGCAAGCTGACTGCAGTGACTAAATAACTTTTTTATTTTTGGGATATGGTTGTTATCTGCAGCATGTGGGTTAGTTCGCATAAAATAAACCAGAGTCTGTGGTTCTGGAGATGAATTTTAAAAGTTGTAGAGGACACACACACAGTTTGGCATTAAGTCAGAGCATATAATGGGGCACATGGGGACTGCAGGGCAAGGGTCAAGTGGTGTGAATAAACTCCCTTTTATGTTTCCTGGAAGTTGTTGTGACCTCTCTGACCTGTGAGGGGGAAAATGTGGCAGGCAGGATGTCCTTGGGTGACATCTCAATGCTCCACAGTGTGTTCAAGTCAAATCAGTTCACTCCTACAGTTTGCTTTTAGGCAACACTTGAGCGATTTCAAGTTTTAGCACAAATGCTGCTGTCTGATTGTCTGAATATCAGCATAACCAAATAATTTGCTGCTCTTTGCTTTTGCCTTTTGATTCTTGAGGTAAGATTTGTTTCACACACGCTCTTTTTCTGAGCATCTGCCTGCTTATTATGTATATGACCGCACATATTCTACACCTGGATACAACTACCGGCATCTACTATTGGTCGATGAGAAGCTCCAGTGGGACACTTGTTGGTTCAGTTGCCTTGGGAAGTACAAATGTCAGGCAGTTCTTACTTTCCTCAGTCAGTCCAGAGGTCGAGAAGCTACTTTTAATTTTAACCTGTTTTGATAAGACAGAAATCCACATTACCAATAAGACCATGTTATGCTAATTAAAGTAGGAGTAAAGTATGTAAACAAATCCTGGAAAAATGCCCAAAGTGCATGGACAAAGTATCACTCTGAGCCACTTCATTGAATAATAATTACATTAATCTAATGCATATTGATTTCTTTATATCGACACAAACTGTCAAGGCACAATTATGTGTCACGGTACAATGGCCAGCAAACACTGACTTATGTCAAAATATTGATTTTCACAAAATAAGTAGTGGAAAGCTAAACTGTAATTTATACACTCAGACGCTAATAGTATTTTGATATGATGGGAATGTTATTCAGATCAAATTGTACAAAGTGCTCCCAATCCAATAAGCAGTCTACAGTCTTAATTGTTTTTTGTCCAGAATATGTCTGCCCAATTAATTAAGCATAATAATATTGTAATGGCAGTTCACATAAATAAAACGCATGCTAATATCAGCACTTGGGTACTCTTTAAGTATCTTACGCTCATAACCAATGTTTTAATTTTAACCATAACAGTGTACTAATAGAATTGTCAACCTGGAGCATTTAAAAATAAACAAATAAATAAATATATATATATAACACTTATATGAAATTTCTATGAAATGTTTAGCACTGGGATTGTAAATAGACACACTTTACTCTTTTACTCTGCCCACGGCCCTACTTTATATGCCTATATCTATCAAAATTAATTAGTTGCTATAAACCTAACAATTAATTATGATGAAATGCTGATGGCCCTGTATCCTCAGTGCTGCCCTTATGTAGGTGTTAGGCAGGAGCTCTGGACTGCTTTCGTCCACTTTATTCAGCCTTTATTTTTCTTCTAGGAGAGGTTTGCTGAGCATACATGCTACAGCATCCTGCTTCACATTCACACCTGGAAGCTTCCCATTATTCCCACTATCTTTTTATTGTTGGCTAAGGAGCAGCTCCACTGAAGGAGTTGGAATTTAAAGGAAGAATCCACCTTCAGATGCTCTTACTGTTTTATGTGAGTCCATACCAGGCTGTAGTGTATTTTGTAAAGAGTTGGAATTTACTTCTTTTTAATCTTACTTTCCCAAAACCTGCCTTGTATACATTTCCCAGGACTTTCAACAACCACTAGAGCCCTATGTTTTGTATGTATACTGAATGTGAGATTATAAAGTAAGGTTTTCTTGTAATAATAGGTAAAGCCTAGTCCTTCAGGTAACATAAAAGCTGCCACCTGCTCAACAAAGGTTCAGGGTATTGCTGCACTGCATAATGCTCTGGTGATTCTGGAAGTGTAGAAATTCATATCTGTGCCTCTTCCCCTTCTGAATGTTGGTGGCGTGTAACGTAAACGTGTAAGATGTGTCCCGAATTTTTGTTTAAAATGTTCAAAAAATGAACTAACCTTATTAACAAAATGTTAGTGCTGTAGTCAAGACCGCCCAAACCAAGACTGAGACAAGACCAAGACTTTTAGGGGCTGAGACCAAGACTGGTTCCCCACATTACATGACACACAATAAAATGTGGAAAGAGATCATAGGCACTTCTCAAATTGATCTGAAAGATCAACATTCCCATTAAAACACCCACATACAAACACTGAGAGCTGATATCAACATAAGCATCGCCATCACCGGGAGGGGTGACAGTCGTTAACGGTAACAACACATTTTAATTAGGGTTATTTGTTGCATTTGAAGCAGTAGGTTTTACATCCAATCAAAGTTAGGATCTTAACAAATAAATCCAACGACGCGGAAGCAATTTATTGAGTGGTCTTAAGACCAGTCTCGAGTACCACAACACTACAAAATGTGAAAGAGTAACCGTTCTGATGTTATGGCAAACACATCTATGTATTGTGTTGCAGAGATATCTACTGAAGTTAGCATGCTAACCAGCTAGCCTAGGCCTATCCTTTCCTCGTAATACCACTTTGTACCTCAAGAAGCGATGGTCCCCCGTAGTTTCAGTTGGGAGATGTGTCCCAGCAGCGAGTTCACTATGTTACACAACTCTCGCAGCTTTTTTTAATCTAATAAATAAACAAAACAAAACTCTCCCAGTGTCAAGAAAGAAGACATTTGTACACATATTTTCCTTATTGAACAGAAGAATACAAGCGTACACGTTCTATATTCAAGTTTCTTTCACCGAACTTGTTAACTCATCCTAAATCAAGCTTCATTCAAACTCGACAAACAAAATCAAACTAGGGCTGGACAACAAAACAACAACAATAATTATCGCAATATAATTTTTTTCAATAACAATATAACAAATGTTCAATAAATGTTTGATTATATTCACTTTAATCGAGAGGAGAGGAAAAAAAAGCTTTTACGTCATTTCATATTTTGTTGAAAAGATTTTATCATAATTGTTTTGAATGTTCCACCTCAGACTTGTGAAGTGATCCACTGTTTGGCTTCAAGTGTTGACCATGATGAAGAGTTTAAACTACAATTAACAATCAGGTTTCTTCAACTTTCACTCAGGAGAAAAAAAAATCAGCCTTTAAACTTGAAAGAAATAGCGATTTGATACTTATCGTGATAATTATTGATATCGAAAGATATGAAACTTTTTATCGTGATAGCATTTTTGGGTATATCGTCCAGCCTTAAATCAAACTCACCTAAACCCTTGATTCACAGAGTTAAATGTGAAAATATTCTGGCTCTACACGCTGTCACAGCCTCTCTGATGGCCGACCACCCTCTCGCTCCTCACCTGAACCCGCCATGTCTTCGTCATCTCCAGAGTCCTGGTCGGAGCCACTGTAAATCCCCTCTGTACTTTGTTCCCTGTTGTCAAACTGGCCTCCATTGGTCTCTGGGGCTGTGTTCTGTTCTGGTGCAGCCATGTTCACTGGGAGGCTGCTGAGCCCAGTTCCACTGGCCGATTTCTCGGCTCCGGTTCTGGTACAAGTTTAATGTGGCCTTTGCTCAGGAACATTTGGTGGTAGCTTTTGAAGGAGCAGAGAGCCTAGTACTGTTCCTTGTGTTTATCATAGATCCAGATGGTCATGGTATTTTTGGTCAATTTCAGAAGGTTTTGTTGTTGAAAAATAGTTTTTACATGATGGCCAGTTGTGCTTTGAGTGGGCTGTGTTTACATTTTCCAGCCATGGTGCAAATCATCATACTCAAACGAGAATTCATGTTGGACCTGGTTGTTTGTGCAGACTGTTGTAATCCTATGGGCGGGCTGAAGCCTCTCACAGTGTGGCCCAGAGTGAGCCAAGCTGTTCAAGATCTCAGAGAGTGAAAGTCACAATAGCCAGTCCGTGAGGTTTAACCAAATGAACACCCTGCAATGCACAGCTTGTCAGCAAGAGTCCCAACTGTTTTCGTTCCAATCGTGATAAGTTATGTGATTTCCTAGGAGGGGATACATTTCATGGCTGTGTGATGAGTCTGCCGGCCTTCTTTGCTTAAGGCTGAACAGCTGAGTACCCAAATATAGTGCTGGGCAATACTGCAGTATTTTTTTACTCAGCATTTGTCATTGCACTTTTTTTGTCTGACTTGTAATGCACATTTTTTTCGACTGCATCAGCACTACATATCAATTACTAAATCAGATTTCTGCCATAATGATTTGGGAAATACTTGAGATTGGAGCTGGAAGTTACAGTTTTATTTGGCCTTTTGCTAGTGTCATGCAGTCCAGTGTGATGGATGGATGGTTTTACACTTTTTTTCAGGTGACCTATATTTTTTTCTGACCCAAACCAAAAAGGGGAACACGTATAGTATTATTCAAGTGTAAACACAGTTTTCTGCCTAAACGATTGCATATATATATATATGGTTATTTTATCTGTAGTTTATGGAAAAGAATATTAATTCTGTGGGGTAATGAACTGAGATAATTAGTAGATCAATCAATTAATCATTGCACTTGGAATGACTAGATTATGTTTTGTTGTATGCAAGTGTAATGATAAAGTTGAATAAAATTAGTTGAGCAGCTAATACTTAATTAAATAATTAATGAAGTTGCAGTGTGAGTGTGAGAGTGACTGGTTGTTTGTATGTGTGGCCAGGGTGTACCCCGCCTTTTAAGCAGTTGACGATGGATGGATTAAGTTGCAGTCTCAGTGGTGCAGCAGTGAATCGACTTGCTGCATATACAGTAGCTAATGATTGTTTCATGAACTGTTAAATTTGTGGGCAGTGGGGAATCTATTGAACTGAGACTTTTATTTATATATATATATATATATAATATAAAATCGTATCTTTAGCATGCATTTCATTAGAGCACAACAGCTTTGTCAACTGCAAGAACTATACAATCAGCATTGTCTGTGAAAAGAAATGGTCAAAAACAAATTGTAGGTAGGTAGGTACATTTATTATCACATTATAACAGGTTAAAAAATGGAATTGAACTTTGTAACTCCCTTCTGCTACATAGCAGACAATATACAGAAGCAATTATAAAAATGGTAACAGAAATAAACAATATTCAATGATCAATGGATTAGTGCAGAGGATGAGTTTGAGTTTAAGAGTCTGATAGCTTGGGGGGGAAAAGCTGCTCTGCAGTCTGGTGGTGCGGCAGCAGAAACTTCTATATCTCTTCCCAGAAGGCAGCAGGGTGAACAGGCTGTGGCTGGGTGGGTACTGTCCTTTAGTATCCTTTGGGCTCTGTAGGCACCTTACTGATGCTCGGGAGATGGGTACCAATGATCTTCTGAGCAGCTTTAATCACCCGCTGCAGAGCCCTCTGGTCCTGGGCCGTGCACATCCCATGCTAGTTTGTAATGTCAGTCAGGATGCCTTCTATTGCTCCTCTGTAAAAGCTGACAAGAACTTGGCGTGGGAATTTGGCCGCCTTAAGCTTCCTCAAGAAATGCAGGCGTCTGTGAGCTTTCTTTACCAGCGTGGAGATGTGAGATGACATGTCAGGTTCTCTGTGATGCCAACTCCCAGGAACCTGAAACTGTTCACCTGCTCCACTGATGTAGACAAGAGTGTGGACCTTTATACCCGTTATTGATTATGGTGTTGTAAATAAATGCATCTGCTCATTGTCTTCACATGCTGGATAGCGTGCATCATGGGGCGCTGACATTCCTTACAAACTGTGTTTTCTTTACTCACAGTTGTGTATGATATTCAAACGTGAATTGGTCTGCTTTATGTGCAGACTTACCTCAGTCGTTGGTATGGTTTTATTTACAAGCCATTCTTGGTGAAATTCCTATTTACTTCTCTTCTCTTTAAACTTGAAATATGGAAATCATAATTTTAGTTATCCTGACATTTTGCTTACTGTTGTTCCCAAAGTCCAAACAGAAAGCATTGAGGTTTTCTGCACCTGCATGGAGCGATCTACATTCTGACCTAAAACTTCAAAATATACTACCCCGAATTTTAAAGCTGTGGTGCAAGAAGTCCAGGTTGTACGTGCACAAGGGTTTTATCTGATCATTTTTAATGTTATGAGGTGATGTTGCAGCCTGCTGTTTAGGTTACTAGGCCTCGTCTGCAAGTCTCACTCCCAGTAGAAGAACGAGGCAAATCACTATCATATTGTTTCCTGTTAGTGGTTTGTTTTGGGTTGAAGCCAGACTAGGAGCTCAACAACATCTACTCAGAACCAGCTACTGTCCAAGTACTTGTGCATGTTTGCTAGGTTTGTACACCATCAGTCACTTGGAGGTCATGATCTTGCATAAAATGTATTTGCTCGGTAGACCAGTGACTCACCTTTTTGGTTCTCATTTGTTTACTTCTGCTCCATCATGTTTGTTATAGAGTAGTACTATTGTGCATTTATAAACAAAAATAAAGGGTTCACTTGATGGTGTTGCCTTTAGTCTTGAGGAAAAAAAATATGTTTATTTTTTTTGTCGGGTTTGACAGTTCCTCCACTTTTGATCACAGGCTTCTTTGTTGGATGGTGACGAAGATGAATGAAATAGATGAGTTATGTAAGTGACTGTGTTTTGACTGAGAAGGAGCGACAAGAAAATAACAAAGTAGGCCAAAAACCACCAAACTGTGAATTAGATGTAATGTAGCAAGGTTTTTTTTTTTTTTTTTAAACAGAAAGACGGCTTATATAACTGTTGCCCTAAAATTCTCTTTCATTTGGAAGTTAGTTTAGAATTAAAGTTGTTTACCAAATACTTAATTCATTAATCATCATACACTTTACTTACCCTGTTTCTTTATCTTAAGTCACTTTCCTCTCCCCTCATGTCTGTCTTGTAGGCCTTTTGCACATCTTCCAGTCCTTCATGACTGTAATTTTTGTCCCATCACTCCTTTTTATTTACCGTTTCCTCTCCTCCTGTCCTGCTACCTCTTTGTATCCTCTCTTCCTCACCACTTCTCTGATGTCTCTGTTTACCCATTCCTCATCTTCCTCCTCACCTTCCCTTCATCTATACATTCCCATAATCTGTTAATGGATGCATCCCTCCTTACTTCCAGATGTCTCTCTATTCTTCTGTCCCATCCATTCCTCCCTTATAACGTTTCAATGATGTCCCGTTATCACTACTCTTAACTTCTACCTTTCGGTTTCCTGCAGACCCTGTGGTGCTGGGCAGAGCGTTATGGCTCAGACGCTGCAGATGGCGATCCCTAACTTTGGCAATAACATCCTGGAGTGTCTGAACGAACAGCGACTGCAGGGCCTCTACTGTGATGTCTCCGTGGTGGTCAAGGGACACGCCTTCAAGGTCCTAAATGTTTTTTTTTTTAACTGATCCCTATTCAAGGATTGACAGCTTAGAGTCAGAGTTGTATAAAAGCTCACCTTTTATACATATAGCTGTTTCTTAACCTGTTGATTACGAAACCGCTATATTGGAGTAATTGTTGGCTAGGCCATTTGCCTAAAGAGCTACTTTATTTTTTGTCTGAGCCATTTACCAATTGGTCAAAGTAATTAACTCACAGGTGTCTCAATAATTTAGCATTGTCTAAACTACTATAGCATTACCTTGAAATATAAACGTGTAGCTTGAGGAGAAGAAGCTATTTTAAAGCTAATCAAGAGAGAGGAGTGGCCAAAGTAGAATTGGAGTCGAAACTGTATAAGAAAAACAAAAGTTGGATTTTCATGTTTTTACTGATATTTTTCTGTTAAATGTCTGTGTTGAAACAACATGCTTGGGAAGGGTTTTGGTATTTAAAAAAAAAAAAATAATAATTTATTCATTGCACCTGGAGGACTGGTGAGAGCTGCAGTAAAGTGTAATTAGTTCCACAGTGAAGGTGCTGACAAGATTTTGGTGACAGAAACATATGGTCCAGGTCAAACTGGTCAAGCAGAGTCTTGCTTTAAATAATTTCTAATAGATATTCTGAACCCCCCCTGGTCATTAGGGAAATAAATAATTTGGCTTTGCCACCGCTCAATATAATTTCAATTTGTAAGGCTACAATAAGAAATGTGGCTATTTTTCTGAAGTTAATTGCAACACAATGGGAAATGATTAATTTACAGTTTGATACAATTGAAATGATAAATACTTTTAGAAATTAAAATTTCCATTTTAATTCAAAATAGATACCAAAGGTAGGTTAACTGTAAACATGGCTGAGACGAAGCTCGTCTTCCGCAACATACACGCTGTTTGGGTTTTCTGCCTCTTGGGAATACACCTTTACGCCCTTGTGACTTAACTTTCGCTGCTGTTAACACGACAGGCCCACCGCGCGGTGCTTGCAGCCAGTAGCTCTTACTTCCGGGATCTGTTCAACGCCGGGGGGAAGAGTTCTGTGGTGGAGCTGCCCCCAGCCGTGCAGCCACAGAGCTTCCAGCAGATCCTGGCCTTCTGCTACACAGGACGCCTCAGCATGAATGTTGGAGACCAGTTCCTGCTCATGTACACCGCCGGTTTTCTCCAGATCCAACAGATCATGGAAAAAGGCACAGAGTTTTTTCTCAAGGTAAGCATTCATTAACAATGATTTATTAGTTCGTTAAAGTTGAATGCAGATGTAGAAGTATTGGTGAAAAGAAATATGCATTATATAATTTGTAATCATGGTAGAAAAATAAACCAGACATGAATAAAATAGCCTTTTTATGTGCTGCCACCACGGCACCTGTGCCATTATGCATGACATTATGTTGTCATGGGGGTGTCTGTGTTTGTAGACACGTTCTTGTGACTAAAAAATAATTGAAACATCATACTGACACTACAGGTTCCCTCTATAGTAACAGATGATCTGATTAGATTTGGAGTGCCTTGCTGCATAAATCTGCATATTAATGAGGAAAACTGATTTCCTTGAAAGTATCCCGCAACACCTCCAGACTGAGTTACTATGATACAAGCTATGATATGTGTTATGTGAAGCATGTCAAGATATATGATAGTATTTGCCATTGCAGGATGTTTTAAGTTGCTTTCTGGTCTTAAAATACGGCTGTCAGGCGTGGTGGTTTGGCTCCTCCGCCAGCCACTTTGGCAAACTATCAAGGAATAATATAAAAAATCAGTCCAGCTTGTATAAGATACAAAGATACTTGTCCTCGATGTTACTGGGCAAAAAAACAGATTTAAGATTGTGTTGAGTATCTTTAAAACATTCCCAGTACTAGTGTTGATATGATAACCAAACTTTGCTACCAAAACTTTTTGGATACCTTATTTGAGGAAACTAACTATTCTTAACCTAGCTTTTTTTTTGTTCAGTGACAGAACATCACAAGCTACCAGAGCCCAAGGCAAGGTTTTTGTCAGACCAGCAGTTTAAAACCAAAAGACATATTGTCTTATAGGACATAGAAAAGCAGCAAATCCTGACATGTGAGAAGCTGGAAACAAAGAAATGTTGGTAATGTTGCTTCACAGATGACTTCAAACAATTATCAGTGTTGTTAATACATATAGTAGCATCTTCAGAAAGCTTTTAACATTAGAAGCCTGAAGTGTTACAAGCAGCCGTAACAGTTCTTCTGATGGAAATCAGGAACTAACTGATCATAAAATAAGTAAACAAGATTATGATTATTATTTGGTACTTAACAGATTTCCTTACTCAATGCTACAGACAGATCTCAGTTGATACACTTACATAAACATGAAGTGATGGCAAGCTACAGTATATTTTGTTTATTTTCAAAGGTAATGATGTCAGAGAAATTAATCACCCTTCTTTATATCACCATAACCTCCAGGTCTCATCTCCAAGCTGCGACTCCCAGGGTCTCCACGCTGAGGAGACTCCGCCCTCCGAGCCTCAGAGCCCCGTCACTCAAACAGTGGGAGGCAGTGGAGTCAGCGTCGTTGCCACGGCCGCAGGAAGGCCCACCTCTTGTCTGACGCCCCTCCCCCTGGTGTCTAAGGTGAAGACAGAACAGACGGCCTCCACACCTCAGCCCACCCCTCAGCCGCAGCAGGTATGCTGCCGCTGATAATGTTAAAACAAGCAAAGTGTTGCATTGATGAAGTAATTAACAGCATGTAGGCCGCAGCTGAGACAGTTGACTGTAAGCGCAATAAAACCGTCACGAGCAAAAAGCCAATACTTCATCAATACACCTGTTCAACAAGCAAAAACATGTCAACATGTAGAAAGCGATATTTTAATCTGCCACTGTGTTTTACACTCTCTGCTAATAGCAAATTGTTGCAAACAAGCTAAAACGAAACCTATCTATAGTGTAACTGTTGAGCTTAGTTTGCCACGTTCCTAAAAATTTGGCACGTTGTTGTAAACTCAGCTGCTGGCTGAGACAAACCAGCCGCTCCTCTCTCTACTAAATAATGTTACTTGCAGTGAATAACAGCAGCAGAGGGAGGAGAAGGAGGAAGGACTGATACTGAATATCTTTATTCTTTCTAATGTCACTCAGTATTTTGATGTCAGGAATATGATTTATTTAATTGACATTTTAGATTTGTTTCCACTGAGATGTTATTGCGTTTATATTGCGACTTTGCTGTTGTAAACTGTTGCTGCTCTAGAAACATTTAGTTGTATTTAAAGTATTCAGTTCTAATCCTGTTCTGAATTTAAAGTCAAACAGGCAGCTAATATGCACACTTTTAATATTTGTTAATTTATCGCAAGTTATATCGTCATCGCAATATGAACTCATATAGTGTAGGCCTACTGTGCAGATCGCATTTAAATTGTGTTCAGTTAACCACTTTATAAGAGTTTTAACTAGAGGTTTCAAAAAGCCTTAATATTGAGAGACAAGTATGGTTTTTGTATTTATTATGTTACCGTCCATATCAGTAAGTTTTGGGTGTTGAAGGAGCACAAACTGTATTAAACGGTTTGTCTCACTTCTTTTATTGTCACATTACAGTGGCTTAATACAAACACTGGAATAGCTTTGCATTTACTATGTTTTTGGAGTTTTTTTTATTGAAAAACAAGTGATATGAAATTCTGAATATTTAGATTTTAGCTAAACTAAGGACACCTTCAAGGACTGTTTACAGCCTACATACGATGCATCTTTTAGTTTTCATGGCAGCGTCTTTTGTATTATCAGGTACTCTGAAAGTTTCTAATTGACTTTTAGGTGGAAAATTGCTCACTCACTTATACAATAAATACAGGGATGTAAGTCTGTAAGTGTTGAGTCATGCTTAGTTAAAATACAGGTAAAAGAGAGTCTAATTTAATTCGGAGGAAAGCATCTGTTGGCTGCTCAAAAATAGTCACCGTGTGATGTCTGGTGCTAATCTTCATAACAGTGTATTTGCTACAGGCCTCACTTCCTCAGAGGGAGAGGCTGCGCTGTAAGAGCAGTGTGATCATCATCCTGTAGGTTTAGTTTAAACAATCAAGTAGCATAAATTATCATCAGATATACAGATTTGTTTGGAAATGGCTTACGAAAAAACAAAATGGCTTACGAAAAAAACACTGCCACCGGATTTGTCCTCTGTAGTTTTTTACGAGATGAGTTGTGATAAAGTCAGCAGGTTAGCAACGCTGATTTGTGTACATTTTAGCACAAGCCTTTTCTACAGTTTAAAAAACACTTAACATTCAGGAACTTTAGATTCTTTTGATAAATGAAAAATAGAGTTTTGAAGAAAAACACGTTGTTTGGGATGTCATTTCATTTTTGTATCGGTTCCATGTCTCTGTATCATATTGGCTCTAGTGCAGAAATATTTCAAAGCCATATCTGTGTGTTTTGGCCACTGAAAATGACTATATAAATGAATCTCTTCATTGTTTCTCTTTGCTGTTAAAATAGCTTTATGTTTGTTGATTGTTTTTGTTACTTCTCTCTTTTTCTTTTTTTTTTTTTAAGTTGTCTAGAGTTTAAGATAAATAACCAGTGTTTCTCTCTGCCCCTCAGCAGGAGGGCTCCCCCTACTCTGTGGTCTGCACCCCCGTGGCCAAGCGGCTGTGGGAGGGGGGCAACCGTGACGGGGGAGGGGGGTCTGGCGGGGGCGGGGGAGGTGGAATGAGGAAGGCCGCACGCTACTCTTCCTCTTCGTCGTCCTCCTCCTCCTCCAACAACACTACCCAGGATGCCTCTGGGCGCGGACCTGCAGCGAATGCTGCTATGGTAGGTGGCGGTGGCGTCACTTCAGTGGGAGGAGCCGGGCTCAACAGTAACCATAACAACAATAACAACAATGGTGGGACACCTGAAGGAACGAGCCCGGGCACGCTGAGTATGTACACGAGTGACTCACCAATCAGTTACCACGACGACGAGGAAGAGGACGACATAGCGGATGACAGCGCAGAAGAGCAGTACAGACAGATCTGCAACATGTACACCATGTACAGCATGCTGAACGCTGGAGCCGCAGGTAAGATCTGTTTTCATCTGTTTGTAGTGTGTTTTATAAGGACCGGTCCCGTAGAATTTGTCTGTCCAAACATCTCAGTAGTGCAGGGTGTTGAGGAGAATGAAATACTGTGGAGCTTATGAATTGTTTCGTTTATTTAATCAAAAGGACAATCAGATGGTCGTTGGAATTAAATATTCTATATAGTCTAATAATATTAGTTATAGATAGTTATACAAACTGAAGTTTGTTCAAAATACACAAGAAATGTGCGTAAAATCAAAACATGTTTTAACTGTTGTTAGTCATGGGCCAAGGGTCAAAGGGCCTTTTAAGTCTAAGGTCCAGGTTTGATTTGAAAACATAGAAAACAAATGAGAAATATATCTCCAATGACCTAGAACTGAATCTTCAGATGGTTTGATATCCAAATGGACTAATTTTCTCTAATTGCGCCTGACTAAAGTAAGAACAAAAACACTGTAGGAAGTGCACTAAATGATTTTAATGCACGAATGGAGGCAAAGAAGCACCCAAAGCAAAATGGAGTGTGATTGCCACTGTTTTACTATCCACGTTGGAGTGAATTATCTCTCTTATATTGCAGTTAGGATTGGAGCACTGAGGGTTGATGTTTTTCTATTTAATGTTTTGGACTAAAAATCTAATAGAGGTTAGGGGACTAAAGGTTAGGTGTGTTGTTTGTTTTTAACTGTTAAAGCATTTTGTTTCTGTATATTAACAGATGTTAGCAATTTTGTCATGACCATATTGATCATAGCCATTTAATGTGAGCTGATTTGCAATAAGTATGCATTTAAATGCTAAACTTTAATGTGAAAGCCATTATTAATATAAGTATAAACATGCAAAGTTTTGTAAATTTTAGACTTTTTTATTATTATTCAAATGTTTTTGGATGACTGCTTTAACACTTTAAAATGTTTGGTATCTTTTCCGAAATAAACGGTTTTTGGGGCGTTTTGTATCTGCTCTGAAACCCAGCTCTAAATGTAAGTAAAAACTGATAACAGTCCATCATCATCCCTCCAAAGTGGTCGGGGAGCGGGTGGAGGCTCTTCCGGACTTGGCCCCAGACTCAGGCGGCGGTCGGGGTGGCAGGGGAGGGCGGTCCCGGCAAGACCTGGCGTCGTTGCCCGCCGAGCTCATCAGCCAGATCGGGAACCGCTGCCACCCGAAGCTGTACGAGGAGGGCGACCCGGCCGAGAAACTGGAGCTGGTGAGCGGCACCTCCGTGTTCATCTCCCGCGCCCAACTCATGAACTGCCACGTCAGCGCAGGGACCCGTCACAAAGTGCTCCTCAGACGCCTTCTGGCTGCGTTCTTTGACAGGTCAGTGTTCAACGCATTTCAAATCAAATCTAGCGAGGGCCGTGTCGGAGATTAACAAAATGACTACTGTATAAATTGCAGTAAATGATAACAGGCTGTGAACTAGACTACAGTCAGAGTCAATCCACTTTCGGCATTTATTCTATTTTTCTTCTCAAGCTACTTGAGTTTGAAAATTTGGATTTTAGCGAAAATGTGTGTCTCAGTATGAGAGTTCCCTTAAAATGTCCGTACAGGATTTTTTTTATTGTGTACCTTTTATCTGTTAATGTGTTGATGTGATGTATGTGGATTTTATTATTTCCTGGCTCAGGAGCACTTTGGCAAACAGCTGTGGAACTGGCATCCGGTCTTCAACCAATGACCCCAGTCGTAAACCCCTGGACAACAGAGTGCTGCACGCGGTCAAATGTGAGTCATACAGACACTCATACTCACACACAGTGTTCGATACATAAATACTGTGTGTTGCATCTCAGCCCCCAGCCACGCTACTCTATTTCTGTTTAAAAGCAGAGTTTCAAAACGTATCTCCGTCTACACCAGAGTGTTAGCTGCATTTTTAGAGTTGATGTATTGAAACGACTGAAAAAGCACATCTAGTGGCCAGTCACGGACACTGGGCATGTGCATGCTGGTGTAAACATGAAGCAGATGGTCTATTCCGTAGTTACAGAAGATTTGGCGAAAGAATAAATAAATACAGACGAAGATTCAGAGCAGATTTTTTTTGCACGGACCAATAATGAGCTGGGACTGTCACTTAATGTAACACAGGAGTTAAAAGCGGCTGCGGCGGCAGAAAGACTGGAAGTCGTTGTAAAGTAAATGGCGACTTAAACAGTGTGTAGGTTAAGTGTTATTTGCAAAATATCAAAATATTTTAATAAAAATACCAACTCAAAATCTCTGTCAGTAGCATCATGTTTCTTCTTGGCATGACTTATAAGACATATAATCAGAGAGCCGAGCGTGAGCGTCTGTGTCATCGTTTCTAAAGTCGTCCGTTTTTGCCCGTCTAAAACGCTCTCCAGAGTTTTAAAACGAAAAATGGGGTTGGCGGCGTTTTCAAACTTCTCCATTTTAGGTCTTTGTTTTCATCTGTCTGGACGGGAGGTGCAAACGTAGCAATGGTCTCCGTTTCAAAACCAAAACACAGTAGTGTGGACGCCGGGGCCTAAGTGATATTTTGGAAATGCCTGCATGCAAAGTTGCCTACTGCAGCTTTGTATTTTAAATTTTAAGACCCCTCACCATGCATTCTCTCTTCTTTTTGCCTTTGGTGTTTGCCATGTGGTTTATTTTTCATCCTCCCCTCTTTCCCTTTTCACCTCTTTTCCTTCCTCCAGTTTACTGCCAGAACTTTGCGCCGAGCTTCAAGGAGAGCGAGATGAACGCCATCGCGGCCGACATGTGCACCAACGCCCGCCGCGTTGTCCGCAAGAGCTGGATCCCCAAGCTTAAACTGCTGATGGCTGACAGCGACGCCTACTCCGCCTTCCTGGCCGATAGCGTGAAGATGGAGGCCGATGCACTGGGGGTGGAGCAAGGCTTTGACCCCGCCTCCCTGGAAGCTGTGGCGGCCGCCAACAATAACGAAGTGGGAGGTGGATCCACGCCAGGAGATACCCTCCATGGGGCGGGAGGAGACGGCAGCACTTTGTTTTGAGTGAGTGACGGACAGAAAGATGAATGGACAGATTGATGGAGGGAGGAATGGAATTTTTCTGGGGCGATGACTAGGGAGCGTTGGCCACGGTGGTCGTGATGACGGTTGTCACTCATCCCCTAGCCGCCATGTGTTTGGGGATCTGTTTCTTCTTTTACACCTCTTTTGGTCAGTTTGTTCTGCTTTCCTTCCTTCATTTGTTCACATTTCTGTCTCTGTACAGCCCAGAATGCCTCTCTTTGGACTGTTCCTCCTTCCTTTTCTGGTAGAGAGAAAGACCGATAGAAAGGTAGCAGAGGGAGGAGGTTGACAATTGCCCCCCCCAACTTCCCTTCAGTCCTCTGCAACCTTTAAAGACCTGGTTGTTTTAGCTTTTCTATTGTTTTTAAAAGTGTGCATTGTCACTAAGGCCCTTTTCTTACCATAATCAGTCACAGACATTCCCTTGGGACGGGGTGGGGGGTGAGGGGTGAGGGGTAATCCTGTTTGGAGAAAGTGATAGTTCCCCAAACTCTGGTAACACTGTTGTTTTGATATTGAATGTATGCGTGGTGATGCATCCAGACCCCAGCGTTAAGTCAGTGGAGGTTGAGTGAACTTGTTGTTTGTCTTTTGTTTTTGCGTTTACTTTCCTCTGGACGGCCAGATGAAAGTTTCTCTGCGAGCGGAGGGGGAAGGTTGATGAGGTCAGGGGTTGAAATGAATATCAAAATGTATATCGGCATGGTTTATGATCTCCCCGACCTCCACCCAACCACACCAACTCTACTCTTTAACCCCTGTCAGGATGCTGGAAAACTGCCAGCGCTTAGAGAAATGTTTGCGAGTTCTGACTGACAGTGTGGTGGCAGATGGGGAAAAAAATCTAAATTTGTTAAAAATTGTCTTCACTAAACCCCCCCCCCCCGCTTTTTGTTCCTGAAATGTAAGAGAGAAAAAAAAACATTTCAGTTTGACTTGTTTTTCTATTTCATTTTTTTTTTTTTTTTTTTACTTTTCGTGTGTGATTTTTGCCAAGCCTCCTGGGGAAGAGGAAATTTGTTACCGATGATTGTCAAAGAGTTCACGTGTGATAAATGCACTGTGTTATTTCCTGCGGTTAGAGTACAATCGAACTATGTTTTTGTACGTATCAGCAAGAGAAGAGGGGTAGTTTTATTTTACAAAAATGCAAAACGAGAAAAAATACAAGCTGAAATCCAATTTCTAATCTCTGTTGATGACCCATTTAAAAAAAAAATCTGAAGTAAAGTTAAGAATTATCCAAAAGCCTACCTGTGAGCTTAGGAAAGAGGTGGGGCGCGCGCGTGTGTGTGTGTGTGTATTTGTGTGTGGGGGGGGGGTACAGCGGTGATGTTCTTTTTGTTTTCAGCTCATGTTTAAATTGTTTTCCCTAAGAATATTCGCAGCCATGTCTTTGTCAGCACAGCACAGTTTCCTCAGGCTCTGCTGCTTGGATGCGTGCTCGCCTGGCATGGACAAAGGTGCTAATTCAGGCATTGGTACAGTGCGAGGAATACGGCTCTGTGTGTAGGTGTGTGTTTGAACGGCCATACAGTTTGTGTGTGTGCTGCAGCAGAAAGAGAGCGGGAGGCCAGACGGTGTGTTTTCACACACGCTTGGTTGATTCATTCACCCATCGCTGCGGTGAGCACACATACATGCTAATACGCATTTGGGCGCTGTCAGCCGCATCAGCTACAGTACACCAGAGCAACGTGGGAATTAAAGGGGAATTACACCAAAGCAGACCTGAGAGGCTGTTGTTCGTCACATGTAAGCATTCATCTTACATTTTTATTTTGTGTTGCAATGAGGCTATAGGAGATCTATTGGAAAATACAGCACTGGTTTGAAAGTTTTGTTTGTTGGTTTCGACAGTTGAGTTCCTGGCTTTACATGAAGTATTTAGAATTATAAAAAGAAAGCTGCTAAATAATGGAAATCGCAGAAGAATGTTGGCATAGAAACAGCCCTGAAAGTCATATTGCAGTCATATACGCCTTTGATACTTGTATGGCTGAATGGTAGCTTTCAGAAAAAAGAACAGGAGTTCAGAACGAGATCTTTTCTCTTTAGAAACGTTGACCTCCAGAATCCACAATGCAGCTGAATACTGTCTACAGCTAAACTCTGGCGAGGGTGTTTTTTTTTTTTTTTTTTTTGCTCTTCTTCAGTTTGAGGTTGAATAGTGGGGCTCCAGGTAAACTTTTTGATTTAGTACCACCGATCTTAATCCCAGACAATCAATATAAAGTCAGTCTTTGTCATGACAGACCTGACACGGCTGTCTGTTTGGCAGTGGGGAATGATAGGCCTAATGAAAATGTTAAACAGATTTGATCAATGCACAAACTATGTGCAGCCCGTTAGTTTGTAACCTAGAATTCAACACAGCAGGGGAAAACTAAGAGTAGTTTCTCCATGTATCCCACATAATCTTTGGCAGATTCAAACTCATTTTTAGGCTAATGTCTGGGGGCTGGGCCAGGCTGATTTGTGTTGATTACATCCAGGCCACAAATGGTGGTTTATTGCCTTGTACCAAAGTAAGATAACTCCATGTTTTTGTGCACATGTTCTGTTAACAAGTCCAAGATTGAGATCAGTGGAGTGAGAGTCCAACTCCACATGTGAACTCTCTAAAACCTCATGTTGTGCAGTTATTAAGTGGCACTAGATGACAGGGAAAGTTTCACTCTGGAGCCCGGAGAGCTGGATTTTCTCTGTTTGACAGCATTTTGCCAAAAATGATCAGATTGAAAATAGACATTATACCCTACCCTTTACAAGTGAAGAGACATTTTGAAATTCATAAAAAGCAGAATCATATCCTGTATTATGATATTGTCATATTATTGTGAAGACTGAACTTTCTCAGATTACAGCATTGTTATATATAGGCCAAAAGAACACTAGTGAACACCAAGCAGTCATTCTGATTTTGGTCCTGAAGATTGTCTGTTTGCTTTGGTGGATTTGTCAGAACCCGTGGAAACGTCAGCAGGTCCTTCAATACTGAAATTAAATGTGATGCATCGACTGTAGGTGGCAGCAGTATGCCGTCAGTGTCAATGGTGCCATCGCGGTTAAAGAGACAAGTCGTGGAAACTGAAAAATCAGTTCTTGTCTAGTGCAGATGAGCGCTGGTACTCAAATGCTAAGACGAAAATATTTCATGCAAGCATGAGCCATCATCAACTGTACACCAATATGACTGAAGAAAGGCTTCCAGCTGTTACAGCCACATTTATAATGTATAATTTCCCCTGTTTTTATGTACCATTTCCCAAGTGTTAAATTTGCATAACTGCCAGGACTGGTGAACCAAACTTGTTGCTAGATTTGATTACTATTGCTATGAAGTGTTTATATGCGTGATAGTCTTTAACACACTAACAATATAAAACCTAAGCAAGAACGGTTTGTTTTATTGTTAACTAGACATTTGTGACACAACTGGTTTTAAACATATTTGGCCTGTTTTTTGTTTTTTTTCTTTTTAAATCAGAGGAAACCTCAAGCACCTTATTGCCAGCGCGGCACCAGAAATGGGCAGGGGCCGCTGTGGTGAACTGTTCACTGTCTCTGCCGCAGGTTTATATTAATGTTTGGACTGCCACACACACAGAACCTCGGGATGAAGGGTCTGTCGTTAAACTTGAGCAAAACACAGAAATAGCGGCGCACGTTGAAACACCCAGGAGAAGAACCAAAACAGCCTATGAGGCATCGTCTAACCTGTCTTGAACTGAACCAGTTTTGTAGACCAGTGTTATAAAAAAAAATTCTGCTTTTTACAGCCCGGCTTTTGAGGAAGATGTTTACTTGACAATTTGTTTTTATATATATTTGCATGTATATCAAGTTTTTTATTATTTCTTTAAAAAAAAAAAAGGCTATCAGTCAAAGAACACTTGGTCCTGAGACGAGCACCTAAAGGTCCTACAGAGAGGAGGTGGAAATTAACTGGGGGTATCTATTTAAAAAATAATAATAATAATTATCCCCACCCTCTATTCTTGAGCACATGGTACGATCCTTGGAGACTTAACCAAGTTCAACAACTGGGGACAGAGGCAAGAAGAAGCGTGAGAGAGAAAGAAAGGAAGTAAAAAATGAAAGGGATTGGGGGAAGGCATGGAGGAGAGGGAGGAGACAGTTTGCACATTTCTGTTTTGTTTTCCTTTTTATTCTGATGCTTTGTTTAAAAACCACTGCCTTAAATGAGGGGGAAAAAAAATTCTGAGAGATAGAGAAGGATGAAGAGGACAGTCTGAACCTCCCTAGAGAGGAGGAATGAATGAGGAGGAGGAGGGGGGGGGTGTTGGCTGGGACGCTCGAATGATTTGGTGTGAGTGCATGCATGCATACTGGTGTGTATGTAAGTGTATTTTTGTATGTGTGTGTGGTTTGTTGCAGGGTGGGTTTGAGAGCCGTTTAAGGCTTTGTGTGTGCGTGTGCATCTGTGGGTGAACATAATGCGTGGGTGTGTTTTTAATGTGTGTGTGAGTGTGCATATTAATGTATGTATGCAGTTTTTTTTTTTTTTTTTTTTTTTTCTCCCCGCTCGCTTCCCTCCATCTCCATTTATGGCATGTTAATGTCTGCCTCCTCACTCGAAAGAGCTTTTGACAGTGGTACAGTGTGTGTGTGTGTGTGTGTGTGTGTGTGTGTGTAATGCGCATGCCTATGCCAGGCTGGGTCTGCGTCTCGATCTATGTGCTGCATACGTGTGTGTCTGGCTTCATGTGGCAACTGCGCATGTCTGTCACTGTGTGTGGGTGGTTTGGGTGCTCAGTTCTGTAAGGTGTGTGTGTGTGTGTATGTGTGTATATATATATATATATGTGTGTGTGTGTGTACGCGTGTGTGTGGGTGGTATGTGCGAAGAGGTTGAGATGAGTGGCTGTTTGTTTTTGTCTGCCTCCTCTGCCACACACACACACACACACATCTGCAAAGTCACATATCTATATCCGCAGCACAGAGTCTGAACATGTGTGTCATATCAAAGCCGCAGATGTATTGCAGTAATGCTGCACATCATGGCTGCAGTTCTACTGTTCCTACAGGATGAATTATTCTTTTAAATATAAATCAGTGAATTGTAAATTACATTTTAGACAAAGCACATCATGAGCCCTTCAATCGACTCTTCTTTCTTTTTTTTGGTATCCTCCAGATTCCCGCTCTAAATATTCCCTTGCTGTCCGGTAAACATCCTGTACTCTTGAATGGGACAGCAGCACAACTGAAGTCAGGACACTTGACACTTTTTCCCTCCTCCATCTCTTGATTTCTTTCCTTAATTCTCCTTTTTTACCCTCCTTCTCTGTCCTTGCCTCACTGTATTTCTGTTTGCTATTTTCTTTGTTTACATCTCTCTCTCTCTCTCTCTCTCTCTCTCGCTGTCCCTCTATACCCCCCCCCCACACACACACACACACACACACTCTCTCCATCTCTCACACACACACAGACAGGAAGGAGCTAAATAGTGTCGGTCCCTTGTTGCTTCATTACGTAAACCATCATTTTCCATCCATCGCTGCTTCATTTCTGTGTCGACTCCATTTTCTTCATAGAAGGCAAATCCCTTCCAAACTCTCACCCGAACATCTGAATCCCTTTTTGTGTGTGTGTGTGTGTTTGCTCTCTACTACAACAACAGATGGGGCTGCCAAATATGTTGCTGTGTGTGTCTGTACATGTGAGATATTTGAATGCAAATATGCTAATAAATGGGCGGAGGTACATCTGACCAGGCACATCAGTGCTGTGTGTGTGTGTGTGTGTGTGTGTGTGTGTGTGTGTGTGTTATGCGTGCTGCCCACTCCCCTCTCATGGGACACTAGTCCAATTGTGTGATTTTTGTGTTTACTGCACCTTCTTAATAATCATACGATTGATGAGGAACGTCTATCTGTCCTTTTTATTCTCCCGGCTGCTGTGGCTAACAAATCAGAATGTCCACATGAGAGGTGCAGCCAATCATGAGGCAAATATCGACTGTTGAACCAAGTGACCAAGTGGGGTTAAAAAAATAATTATAATCATCCCAGACTTGAGCAGTGAGGGGAGGAGGAGGAGGTGGTGCTGTTCTTCCTGAGGAGGAGATGTTTGTTAAGAATCTCCCAGGACAGATGAGGCATTGCGGCAGTCTGCCGTCACATGAGCGAAGCCACAATCCAGACAAAGAGACGAGAGTGAGAGGAGAGAGGAGAGGCTAATGACAGGGAGGAGGAGGTGATCTGTGGCCCTGTGCCACCAAGATAAATACCTGGGTGCTTGTTTATTTATGTAGCGTGGCATTTTGCAGAGGGGTGGGGTCGTGGGCTGAATGAATAAATGGTAGATTTGCCTAAATCCCTCTAAACGATCCCAGCGAGACAAGCACCCAGTTATCGGACGATAACGGGGAGAGAAGATAAAGAATCAAGCATCTAAAACTTTAGTTAAGATTTGTTTGGGGAACAAACATGAAGAATAATTCACCCCCCCCCCCCCTACACACACACAAACACACACACACACACACACACACACACAAAGTTGAAATTGCACTATCTGAGTGGGGAAAAAATTACTTATGTTAAGAAACACATTTGGCTGAATGATTCACCCCACTGTCCTTTTTCAGCACTGCGATCTCATAATGTGAAGAAATTTTTTGCTGCATCTGTGGAGGTTATTTTGGCCTTATTGGCAGATAGTTTGCCCAGCTGCTGTCAGGGTGCGATATGTTGAACGCCAGGCAAATCGTCATCTTCAGTGAACAATTACAGGTCAGGAAAAACAATGGCTATACATCACAATTAGTGGGACAGTGTTTCCCAACCTTTTGTGCTTGTGGCCTTTTAATACAAAATACCTTAGTCAATACACAATCATGTATAGTAAATGCAGTGTTTGCTTCTCAGATTGTTTGATAATAATAATAATAACTGAATGATTTGATTAGTTGATGAAAAGAAATTAATTAGATTTTGACAATTAATTGTTAAAGTCACTGACTCCAGCTTCCGTTGAGATTCCAAATGTAAATATTTGCCTGTTTTCTTAGTCTTCTATGTTAATACATTGAATTTCACTGGGGTTCTTGGTCAAACAAGACAAGCAACTTGAAGACTTGGCAAACTATCTGACATTTTATAGACCAAACTAAATATCGAGAGACATACAAATAAGAGGCAGCGTAATCGGTTATCGTTAGTTGCAGCCATAGCTGAAAAAAAGAAAAAGATAACGTGTGTAATTTTATGTATCAGAATTTAGTTTTATCATCTGTTGACCCCTTGTATTCATCTCACAATCCCACGTGGGGAAGCCACAGGTAGGGAACCGCTGTTGTAGTACTAAGGGTTGTTTTTACAACAGTCTAAATGTGGGCTTTAATCTTCTAATACGCACGGGAAATCAAGATAGAAGATGATTTTGTAATTTTAAATAGGAATTTTTGTCAAGATTTTGAAATGAAATAATGTAGAAGTTGTGATTATAGAGGGTTATGGCAGATCCAACATGCTTTTTGTCTGACTGTGATTGGCCTGTTATCCTGCGGGTTGTCGACTCGGCAAAGTGGTTCGAACTGGTTTTGACATCCAGGGGTTTTGAAGATAAATTGTAGATACATTTGGCGTACTTCAAAGAGCACAGCAAAAGGGATGTTTTCTTTTAATATCTGTCTGTGTCTGTTTTTATATCCTCTTTGATTTGGAGGAAATGTTACAAGTCAGTAGCTGAGCGCTATGGAGAGGAGAAGGGAGAGAATGATTTTCATAAAGAAGTTTTGAACACTCCTCTGCCCTGCAAAGAGCAAAAACTGAAACATGAAACTCGACAGTAAAACTTGGTCAGTCCAGCACCAATGGCTGTATATCACAGAATATCTTTTTTTTATGAAATATAAAACCTACTTGTGAACTTTGACCTTTTTTTAGAAGCTGTCACAGGTGGCAGTTTTTTGCGTCTTTGTAGGGCAGCTATGTCTGAGCACAGTTTAATGACTAAAGGTTGAGCGGGGCCAGAGTAGAAGTTTCTTTTTCTCGAAGCGATACAAGTTCGGTCGAGCTTTTAAAAATTTGTTTTCGTTTTACATTTCATGTTCTGTTGCTATTGTGTTTTTGTTTTCTATTCATTTGAGCTAGTGTACTGTAGTCCTTGAGAGTTATTGTGTTTAAGACGGATGCTACTAATAATTCAACATTAACACCTGTACGTAGAGTTGCCAAGTTGTGTAAAAAATTACAAAAAAAGAGAAAGAGGAGACATGTTTAGCTGTAAAATAGTTTAGAGAAAGAGAACCACATATTTTTGCATTGCGATTGTTGTATGACTGAGGTGCTGTGGGGGAGGGGGGGGGGGAGGGGGGGCTTATAATGTTGGACCAGATGTTTGGTTTTTACTGTAATGCAGCTGTCCGACGGGATCAGGGGCTGCAGAAACCAGACGGATGGAGCGACCTGGTGGAGGGATGGACAGTCAAGGCAAACAAAACACTGCTGGGCTTGCATCATTTTAAGGCTACAAGTCTGAATGTCTGTTTCAAAAAAAAAAAATCTCTTCATGGATAAAATTTTACTCTCCATTGTCTTGTGACAATATAAAAAAATGTCTTAAACAAGCTTCCATAAACATCCATTAGATATTGACCCAAAGTAAGTTTACTTGACCTGGTTCTCGAACCAGCTTTTCCACAAAGAATAAGCTACTGCTGCTTGAATGGGGTGGGTTTTTTTTTTTTTTTTTTTCTTTAGACGTCACCTGGTGACTAAATGCAGGTACTGCGGCTCAGAGAAGGGGAGGGCAGGGGGGGTCAGTAGCTGCAGTAACTGCTTAGCGCCACCAGAAGGCGAGATCCCAAGAAGCAGTGATCCTACACAAACTACGATTGTAATGAAAGAGTCTCGATCACTGTATTCATCCGAGCACCTTAACAGCAGACCGCCGGAGGCTTCTGCTGCTCATTTTACAAATCCGCCACAAGACGCAAACCTGCGAAAATGTCCACCGCATGTGGGCCAAGATGCCAAATAAAGCTATCAGTAGATTGAAAGTTGGTGACATGACTTCCAAAAGAAAAGTGCACTGCGGCCGTTTTGTGCTTTGACTCGTCCACCCTCGACTGTGTCTGTCTTTCACTCCTGATCTCCGTCTCGGCTGCCGATCCACAGAAAGAAACTAAAGTGACAAGGAGAGAGTGGAATAATCTTCAAAAATAAAAAGCACCTTTGGGCGAGCGCTCAACTGTCCCAGAGAGCCAGAGCCCTCTGCACCTTTTGTGAGCACGCTCACTTTGTCACTTCCTGTCTGTGGTTTGGATGCTGGTGTCAGAAGTGAGTCTTTTGTTGATTTTAGGGGGGGGGGGTTGAGATGTAATGTGAGGGTTCTTTTTTGTAAGTTCCTTATTTTTGTTGTTTTTTTATTTTTCTGTACCATTATTCCCTTTTTTATTTTGGATGTTTGTTTTCTCTTCTCTCTCTTTATGACATTTGTTGTTTACTGTTAAAATGACAATGATGTGCCCATCGACCTGTCTCCCCTCAGTTGAGAAGTGGGAGCATAGACTGTGCAAACTCTCCTCTGAATGGGGGTGGGGGAGGAGTTAAAGGGGGGGGGGGAGAGTTCAGGTGGGTGAGGGGTACCAGTAAAGGGGTGAAGGTTGGGAGTTCCTACACAGATCTGGAAATTGTGAATTCTGATCATTTCGAGGTCTTTTTAAAAGAATTCCAGAAAAAATGCCAAGACAGGTATGATCACCCAGCAAGCGTTTGATGGTTAATTGGTTTAGTGTCAATCCAAACGAGCACAAAACTTTCAGTGTGACAATAAGCCACAGTCAACAACTATCTTTAGAAACAGCTTCAGACTGATAATCAGGCTGATGTTCACATCTGATCAAAATCAATGACGGATGGACGACTTTGGTCCTTTCAACTATCAAATTCCGTCAAATTGCTTGCGGGGTGTGACTTGCACTGTCGTGTTGAAAAATGTATGACCTGGTTGATGGTTGTATTGCCTTTTTTTTTTTTTTGTAACACATGTTCATATGAAATGTTAAAGGAAAAATCCACCCTTAAACACTGAAGTACTGGTGTTTAGAAATCATATATTTACATCAAGTTCTGGTGTCTCTTCCTTTAAAGGGGCATTTGAAAATGCTTCTTTGTAAATCCACCATAGAAGAAGCAGAATGACCAGCCTCTACAGGAACTGCATCCTCACAAAACCAGAATACAAACAGCCACAACACATGTTACAGGAAGTGGATTCATTCTGGTAAATGTAAGGAAGTGTGAATCCGAGGTGGCCAAGCATGTGAATACAACAAAAAAGTACATTGCAATGCTTGATACCAGATTAACTTTTGGAAACAGAGGGTGGATTTTTTTTCTGCTGAAAACCTGAAGGAATGTCAGGGAGATGTGGTGGTGTGTGTAAAAACTGGCTAAACTTGAGAACAGAGGAGCAAGGGAAGTGGATGCGAAACCCCTTTGAATCAATATAGTGACCCTGAGGTGAATCCTCATTGTTTCTCTCCCCCTCCATCCCTTCCTCTCTGCTCAGACTCATCTTCCTCGGCGCTGCAGCTTGACCTCGTCACCCCTTGCCCGACCTTTTCCCCTTGCGCTCCTCAAGCTCCGCGATTCTCTTTAACTGCTGTCTGCAGGTCTGTAGTCTTCTGTCCAGAAACATTTACTCCGCTCTTTCCCAAATCCCCACACACCAGAGACAACACACACTCATACTCACATATATATATATAGATATATATATACTGTATATGTATAAATTAATACAAAACGGGCAAACCTCTGAGATACAGAAGCTCACACACACCCCTGCACACTCTCAGGATGTGTTGCAGAACGTGTGTCTTCGTGTCACTGATGCAGTTTTTAAAAAAAGTACCAGTTTACCTCGGGAGCTCTCAGCCATAGCAGACCTTAATCCCCACAGATATCTCAGCGCTGCGACAGCTTCTGAACTGCTGTGGCTGCCGTTACAAAGCAGGTACATTTTTGTTTTTCAGGAACAAACCCGGGAGCCTCAGCAGAGTGCTCTTGGACCATTTGAATGCATATGGCGCAGGGTTTTTACAGAAGCGGGACACAAGCAGAGAATCCATGTCAACACAGTCTTACCTCAGAATCATACTACAGAACGGGAGGGGGGGGCCGGGCTTACATATGATCATAGCAACCGTGAATGACTATTTTTTATTCCTTCTCCTTGTCTCTGGTGTTGGGTGAAAAATACTCTGCAGAACTCGTTCTTTTTCTTGTTTTTTTTCCACTATAAATATATAAATATATAAACTGTACATTATGACATAGAAGCACTATCGAAGTTTGATTGTTAGATGTGCACTCGCAGCATGAGGTATTATTCTTTATTATTCTTCATAACCCAGAAAAATGAAAAAGTGAAATAAGAGCTTTTGGAAGTAAACAAAAAAGGATTTATAAAAAACAAAACAAAAACAAAACAATGCAGTAGCGTCTACTGATGTCAAAGAAAATACCCGACCTCACCCTGACACACATGCCCAACAGACCTTTACCCCAGCCCTGCCGTGTTACCCCCCCCCCCCCCCCCCCCATCCAACTGATCGCCCTGATGCCTCCTCGCGCCACCCCCCTGCCCAGCCCCATGTACATGCCAGTGTTTCCCCCATGTGTTCCAAGTGCCAATAACTTTGTGAATTCCTAACTGTGACCCAGTAATAAAGATAATTGCACATTAACTACTGTAAAGAGGAAAAAGAAACCAGACTGATTAAAAATGAGGAAAAAATCCGAATATCTTAATAAAAGGTTTTTAACAAACAGGACTGACCTTACAGCTGTGTTGGGTCTTTCTTTACCTTTCCTGAGGTCTTTATCCAAAATGACCTCCAGTGTGAGTGGATCACGTTTTAAGTGTCATTTTGATCAATTTAATATCTTTGAAGTGAGAATAACTTTTGGAGCGACCGCTGTGGCCACAAGTGGCAATTACAGAATTATGGTATGTTGAATTCCCCTGCATTTCTAAAGACTCAAGAGTCCCTTTTAATCAGCTGCTTTAACCATCATTTGGTTACCTGATTGAGAACGAGTGGAACAAGACCACAAGCTAACAAGTGTACAGCATTGCAAGCGGCTCTGTGACGCTGAACTTTGGGGGCAGAGCACTGCCTTAAACTAAATGCTAACACGCTTACAATGACAAAGCTGACATGCTGATGTTAAGCATGTCAGCTTAGCATGCGAACATTTGCTAACTTGCACAAAGTATAGCTGCTGCTGATGGAATTGTTTTTAGTTTTATAAGTATTTGGTCATAAACCAAAGGATTAAAGCAAACTGAAATTTTGATCTAGAGTAGTAGATGGAAAGTCAGGTGATGACCAAAGTTATTCCAAGTGGGAGTGGGACATGAAATGTGTGTACCAAATTTGTTGTTGAGACATTTCACTAAAAATCACAAATTGAGAACCTTGTGTTATGCCAAAGATCACAAAGGTAGGTAGATTAATTATCTGGGAGCCATAGATGTCCGTATAAAATATCATGGCAATCCATTCATTAGTTGTTTTACTTCAGCCTGAACCAAAATGGTCAGCAAAAAAACAACAACAAATAAGTCCTGGTCAGGTACAATGTATTTTCTGCATAGAAAAAAGTCATAAAACCTGCTCAGTGATCTATTTGTTGCTTATGAATTTAACATTTTATTTTTAAGAGGATGATTGTGTTGTTTTATTCAAAAGTCACGTCTCGCTTTAAAGGGCGGTTTAGCATTTTTTCAGACTTAGAGAAAACTGCAAACATCCTCTTAAGAATGAATTCAGCTTTTTCAGGTAAGTATGAGAGCAATCCTGCAAAGTTTAGATATAGTCATATTTAGAAAATGTAACTTGTTTCCTATTTCTCAAATTAAAGTGATGAAAATAACTGAATTGAAGTCCAGAGCAGTTTCCTTTACAGTTTGACAATCTCAAAAAAGCTTTTTAAAATGCCCATTATTTCATTTTTAAGGCTCATCATCAAAAGGGCAAAACCACTGGTGTGTTAGGGTTAGGGGCTTAGTGGGGGGCGGGGGGTGATTTTACTAATCTTTTCTTAATAATTTCAGGAATTTGGTTTTTTCCTGCAGTGGCTCTTCATGACTAAACTCCTGAGATGGGAGTTGCACATGTGCTGGAGGCTGACCGGCACAGGTACGACAGTGCATTAACCCTCACGAAGAAGTCAAAAAGTCAAGTTAAAGTTTATTATGGCCAAGACATAACAAAATATGTCTCAAGGGGCTGTACATAAAATACTGATTACTAAATATATAAATATTTTAAAAGTGATAAACTACATATAAACAAAAGAAAAAAAGTTTCTTATTAAGTTTTATGAAAATGCTGTACCAACATATTCTAGTGTATTGTACCGTATATTCACTTGAACTCTGAAATGCAGAATCCTCACATCTTATTCTGAGAGCAGAGCCGTAATGTGACGGTCATATCATCACCAACAGTCCAAAACCTAAAGATATTCAATTAACATTTATTAAAAGCAGAGAAATACAGCATTAAGCTGGAGCCAACAACTGTTCAGCACATAAATTACATAAATGGTTATCAAAATAGTTAGAAATAAATTTCCACGGCATGAGTTTGAGTTTGAAAACATCAGTCTTTTAGAATTTGTTATAGATTTAGTACAAGACGGCTAACAGTGAGAATTTATATTTTAATTTAAATATCACTAGCAGATGTATCACTGTGATGCTGTCAGTGTTGGTCTCTCGCTCCTGCAGTTTCACAGGACGCCTGTTACATGTCTAAATGTGTCTGACTCCTGACTGCTGCCTGGTTATTTTCAGAGCTACTTGCAGTTCATAAAGCCACCAGGGACTCGCGCTCTGCTCATTACAGCTAAAGTAAATGTAATTTCACATGATGGTTGTGCTCTCAAAATAGGATGTGATGATGTTTCCATTTTGAAGAGTGACTCTGAATTAAAACTCACTCCTGGAACATTTGCAATTTGGTGGACGCTTTTACTTAAAGAACAAATCACAGAAGGAACTGGAGCAAAAAAAATATAGTGAAACTAAGCCACTGTACAAACATCAATTTATTTAAAAAAAAATCTGCAGTTTAGTCACTTCATGTTGAACAAGTTTAATGAAACTTCAAATCCCACAAAACAATTTCAAACACCTCTGAGTGTCAGTTAGAAAATAATCATTCAACTCACTTTATGCAGATGTAATGTTTTTTGTCAAAGAAGCAACAGCTGCCACGGAACATTTATTCTTCATGTAGTGTGTGTGTGTGTGTGTAAGTAAATACATTTAATATAGCAGAGCAGTGAATTGAAAAGCAATGTGCAGACACAAGCGGTTTGACAGTGAACTGCACAATTGCAGCCAATATTGTATTAAAAAAAAAAAAGCACATTCAGATCCTCCCAAAATTCACCTCTTTACAGTTTCACCAGCAAGAGAGACGTTTACAATTAAACATGTCAAAGTCCGGTTACATTCAAGACAACTTCCCAGTCAAAAGCGACTCGTTGTGTTTAAAGGCTGATCAGTTAAACAGAATAAATGAAATTTGGATCATTGGCACTTTAGCTACAGATGTTGAGGTTCATCAGCAGTTTTTAACCACTCATAGGCCAGTTGAAAAGGTTTGCTACATTTTTCTAAAAGAAAGTAAGTCGTCTGTGAAAAACTGATTTGCCTCATAAGTCACTAGTGTAATTTATGAAATAACGCAAAGTGACTTATGATGTAAGTTTTCAGTTTTCACTGCACTGATTCATTAAATACAGCCTATATCCTTCAGAATAAAACAAAGACTAGAACTGAGCTCACAATACTCTCCTATGCAGTTGTGATGTTACAGTATCATGCAATTAAAATCAGACGCAGTCAAATCTAAACAGAAAAGCACTAAACAGCTTTAACTTCACACAGGAAGTAAGGTGTATTAGAAATCATCAGATGTGTTTCCAGATGCCTTTACCTTGCATCGTTACCTTGAGGTCTAACAGTGACTCATGACTGGAGTGGAAACCACATGAGTGCTTCATTTATGCTTGCAGCCATTTTCAAGTATTCTGCTAATTTTCCCTACTGAAGCATTTAAGGACTGAGGGCTTGAATATGTAAAAGCACATACAAACTATGAAGATTAAAAGAGCTCTGGCAGTGAGGAAACTCAACAGTGAGACATCCCTGAACCCCCCACAAACATTTAAATCCTGGGCATGTGACCTCTGACTCTTCTGGTTAATAGGTTTAGTAGAACTGTCACAAAACTCTTTAGTTCATCATTTTTCTCTAACTGCTTGAGAAAAGCAAACATTGAGTGTAAAAAAATCTGAATCACACAGGATTAAAAATAAGATTGAGTCTGCATAAAGCCTTTGTACAGGAATCATGTTCATTTACACACATTTAAAGCATCAGTTTATATTTATACAGCGCTGCAACACACCCTAGCGTGGGTAGTGTTGCCAGACATGACACAAAGAAATAACATGACCTACAGCCTCCAGTAGAGGGAGCTGTAAGCCTAAATCTGGGCTGAGTGCGGAGACATCCTGCCCAGCAACTGTTCGTACTCTCATTATTAGCTAAAGCTTTTCAATAAAACAGGCAAACCCATTTGCTATGAGCCAAGGTTGTCTCTCATCACCCAGTGAGAGTAACAAAGCCTCAGCCAATCATGTGCTTAACTGCCTGCAGCAGCGCGAAGGCGGCTGGCTGCAGACCTGACTTCACTCCACAGAGACGGATCACAATCAGGGCAGGAAATTAAACGTTTCTGTCTGCCGGCCCGAGCCCGAAGGATCTGTACATTTCTGACAAAGTGGCAGGCAGAGCAAAGCCTGCATTTCATATCAGGGATGCGCAGCCTAATGTCATGCCTATAAGTCTACATGTTTTGACCAGAAACACCACAGCAACTGATTTTAGAAGTGACTAACTCTTCCTTCCTGCCTGAAATGTGTTAATCAGGGAAATCAGCTGCTGTTATGTTGGACTGGAAGGAAAACCTGCAGGATTTTGGCCAACTATAACTTTCCTAATTTAATTGAGGACTAGAACTTAACACTCGGTGTTCCACCCTGATTCACATGTAGGCACATAAACGTACTGCACATTTTACAATATAAAAATATATTTAAGGCCACACTGACAACACCCAGTCTCCTCCCTTCCGCACGGCTCCCGTCAGCTTAAAACACAAATAACTGCATTTTTCTTGTTTAAACTGTTAACAAATCCATATTTATCAGCATTAAAAAAACAACACTTTTTGGCTGGTAGCCCGGTCTCACCAGCCAACTGAAATTATTGTCACAATAGTTGTTCTCAGAGACATTTTCTTTACAAAAACTGTCAGATCTGTCGGAAAGCACTATAAAAACTATTTACTAACAAAACAGATCAGTTTTGTAGTTCTGAAGAAAATAAATTACAAGTGTTCAAATTCTGTTGTTTCCTAACGTTTTTACAAAATCATTTTTACTGCCGCTGAACAGTTGTGTGTAATTTTTAAAATTGCGATGCGACTTGAAATATCTTGAATACGTCTTGATTTGTTAAACCTTTAGCAGATTTGTGCTTTTAACCTGACAGCAGCAGCCTCCTGCCCTGACCCTCCCAATGAGTACCATTGTTTCCAACTACTGAAATGCACCAATTTGTAATCCATAATACCGCTGGGATTTTTCCTGTGAGGCGCTTCTGTCGAGAGACCCCAGCTGTGTGTTGTTTTCTGTTTTCACTAGAAGCATTAAAAGCAGAGGGGGGTGGACAATTATATCCTGACACCTCTCTGCGGGTCATCAGTCTCTCCTCATTGTGAAGAAAGGGGGGACGGTCTCTCTCCTCCTTCCCCTCCCGTTCTTCTTCTTGTGTCTGTCCATCCTAACAGGGAGGAGTCGGCAAACGTAGTCGGGAGGTCAAAGGTCAGCCGGCATCAGAGAGCGAAGAAGAGGATGAGGACTACAATCAAGATGGTGACCAGCACACCGATGGCACACCACTGCCTCCGACCTGAAGAACACCGTACGGTAGATATTTAGATACAATAAAAAAACAAAAAACATCTTCAGCAAAAGTGACTGAAAATAATTGTTTATTGGCGAAAATTTGTAGTAATAGGTAGTAATTAAAAATAATTACCCAGATATTTTGCATCACTGATGAAAATGTATCTGTGTGTGTGTAAACTTACTGCTGGTCATGTGAGACACCTTCTCCAGCTTCTTTAGGACCGAGTCCATACGGGACGATGTCTGGTCCATCTCGTCTCCAAAATCCCCCAACATACTGAACAACAAGCACACAATCATTTAAATAAAGCAAAGTGTCATCACAAAAACCTCACTGTGGACACCTTTCAGCAGAAGCACCAAACACAGTTGTGAACGCACATCATTCACACATTTTTCTAGCAACTCGGAAACTTAATGTACTTGGAATCTTATTTAGCTCCTAAAACCAGTTATTTATGATCGAGCCTGTTCTTGGCCATTGCAGACATTTATAGCTCTACGGGGATGTAAAAGAGAAATGAAATGTAGTCTGGGTGTGTAAAATCGAGACTTCTAAAGGGATTGCTGGCACCTTGATATATCCCACAATATTAAAGTGTTGGTTGAAACGGATAAACTGACAGTTTAGCTTTTCATAGAGCCAGTAGTGGGTCTAAAAATATAACATTTGAACGTGAGGATATTGCTAGAGTAAAAGTAAAAGGGGTTAAATTACTTTAAAGATAATGGGGCCTGCTGGTTTAGAGTCACTGTTTACTAATGATTAAAAAGGTGATAGTTTGTGTACGCTGCTGCTAACTCTGTTTCACTGTCACTGTTGTTCACCAACTGCTGATGTGAAATGAGTGGAGAGAATGTTATGTTACAGTAAGCAAAAATCATTCCTGCCCTACTTCCTGAACACGTGTGCCTGTTTAGTCACCCTTCTGCTGACAAAACAAGTCCAGATCCTGGACAGCCGCAGGAAACATTTATGGGAATCATACATTGACCAAATCTCCCTCTGGAGAAAGGATCAGAGTACTTCATTAATAAAGCATGGGCTATCAAAAGGCTTCATTATTCAAACATGGCCACTGAAAGTCTTATTACTAAGCAGTAAATGGTTACAACTACACTACTTAATTTCAGTTATGATTTACTACGTTTCCCAGAATTCCTTTTGATAACTCACAAATAGTGTTACAATCAAATTACAAATAGTTAAGAATGTCTTGCTTTCAGCAGAAGGTGGCATGTGGACATACAATGGTATAAGCTAGCATCTTAGACAGATGCACTTTTCTTTTGATGGTCAGGGACAAATGCTGTTTCTAATGATTATTTTCATCTTCAATTTATCTGCTAATTATTTTCTTGAATAATCCATTTCTCTTCATCAATAACATGTCAGAAAATAATAGGAAAATCTAAATTTTTCAAAATCATTATTTCCCGAAAGCCCAAAGTGAGGTCTTCAAACTGCTTGTTTTGTCAAAGCAGCAGTCCAAACTCCAAATACATTCAATTTACTATCATGTAAGACAATAAAAAGCAGCAAATCCTCTCAATTGAGAGGGTGAACACAAGAATATTTGTCACTCGTTTCTTAAATGAAACTTAATCAGCTTAACTATTTTTATAAACGATCCATTGTTTGTCTATTGACTAAATCAACTTTCAGCTCCATCAGGGATTGCGCGCGCGTACACTCACATAGCCTGCTCGTCGAGCTCGTCCCCGATGCGTCCCGACATGTCTTTGAGGACTCTGATGCTGCCTGACACCAACTCCAGCTGCTCATCCTGCTCCTGCATGATCAGCTACAAACACACACACACACAGACACAGTTTGTCTTCACCCTCAATGTGTTTTACCATTTCCCAAAAATATATAAATGTTACTCCTATGTACCATTTACCCCACACCATATCTAATTTTTCATTAACATAGGAATTTAGCCGTTTTAGTGAACACAAAGCACTTTCTAATTTGCTTTAAAGGGTGCCACACACACACACACACACAGTTGGTAGAGCTGATGAAACTCCACTCTATCATTAAATCAAAGGTGCGAACAAACGCAATAGTTTTTATTGAGTGCACACTCAAACCACAACCTGATACAGGCTGTGAAGAAGCTGTTGAACCACAGGAAATAGAAACTATGAGCTCATACTCTGACACTGAAAATAACCTTCACACGTATATTTAACCCTCTTTCACTTCATCCACAGCATGACGCGTTGTAAAGCTGACAAGATCTTATCTACCTCATCTTTATAAAAAAAAAAGACTGCATCAGGATATCCAACGCTCTCTGTGCTCATTTTGTATTCTTGCAATGTGATCCTTTGATTAAATGGTCCTCCTCATCTGTTAAACATAACCTAATAAAACAAACATTCAGTCTGACAGTTAAGAAGTCTCATTTCACATGAAATTCTCTCTCTCTCTCAATTCAAATTAGCTTTATTGGCATGAATGTGTAACAACAATATTGCTAAAGCATCATACATACTACATAAGAACTATCAACCCCATACATTTCATTAAACAAGTAATTAAAGCGTAAAGTAATCAAAGCGTGTGTGTTTGTGTTTAAAAAAATAAATATATTAAAAACATTACATAAATTAAATAAATGAAACAGTAACGTGTGTGTATATATTAATAGACAAAAAATTAAAAAGATTAGTAATTAAAATAATAAAAAAAATCAGTATCAAATGTAAAAACAAAACAATTACTAAAATATCAAACGATCAAAATAATAATAATTTGAAAATTATTATTATTATTATTATCTCTCTCCCTCTCTCAAAAAAGGCATACAACACAAATTCAAGTGTTTGAAAACGCACATTAGCAATGTGGAACGACTTTCCTGGAAGAGACAAGACATTATTTAGTCAACTAATCCTGGTCACTTATCTGCTGCTGCATGTAAACTTCTCTTTACGCTTTATTGATACTTAATTTCTCTTGGCAAATTGAATGCCTTAACAACAAAGAAAAGCACAATAGAGATATATCAAACCCACAAACAAGATCTTACTCTTCCACTCTCTTGTACATTTTCTCTCTCTTTTATTCCATTCATCAATTCTCCGTCTCTCTCTACCTGTTGTTGTTCCTGCTGCTCCTGGATGTATCTGGAATTTGCAGACACCATATGAGCGTCCAGTCCCGATGACCTGTCCTGTCCTGAAGAAGTCAGCAGAGCCTGGACAAATACACACAAACAAGGCATGGGCTTAGCAGGGGAAAAGTGTGTGTATTATATTCTTTTAGTAGTTGCAAAAGCAGGCATTAGTTAGTTTGACAGTTTGCTAACTGCTACTGACTACAACATTTCAAACCACAAGGTGCAGCAATCAATTGTTTTTTGTATCAAACTGAAATGTGTCACATCAGCTGGAGAGAGTTAAAATAAATTCAAATCAGCTGATGTAAAAGCTGTTAAAATTGATGAGCTAACTTAAAACAAACAAAGAAAACAAGTCTATGTAAACATAGATGATATAAGACACTACAGCTGATGTCTTCAAATGACAGGTTACTCCAAACCGCACGACATCTACTCATTACTTCTTCGTCTTGGGAGCTTCATTTTGGCGTATGAGCCCAATGAGCAACTTTTATAGGAATAAACGGGGAAGTTTGGTTTGTTTCTTTAATCATTATGATCAAGTTTTTCTAAAGTTGTCTTTTTGCCGTTTCCACAGTAGAGAGGGAAACCTGTGGACAAGGGGAAGATGTGCAGCACCAGTCAGGACTTGAAACCAGGATATTGCGGTTATGTGTTATTCACTTTCTACCACTGGGTCTCCATGGTGCCCCAAGTCTCGTTTTGATACCGGTGCCAAAGCATCATAATGGCACTATATTAAGAAATTTCAGACGATACGTAGTTCTGAACTTAAAAGCAGTGGTTCATGATGTACGAGCACAAAATGCAAGTTTTTCATAATTCAAACCATATAACTAATTCAGTGGTTCTCAAACTTGCAGGGCATCAAGTTTTCAGAGCACCACTGCTCTAAGTCATTACCTTTTACCCAGTAAGGTCTATGTAGTTTTTGTGTCTATAACTGTCCACCAACCTGTCTGTTCTTCTTCTCTGCCTGAGCCACAGCTGAAGGGCTGGACAGCTGATCTTTCATCTCCTGCGCACACGCACACACATACACAAGAAAACAATTTACAACTCTCACTCCACAATGTTTCACAATTGTAGTAAAAATCACTTTAAAAGCCCAGCTCAGCGCAGACAGCTTCATTAATGAGATTTTCTGCTGCTCTTCCAGAATCGCCGGCCGGCATATCAAAGTGTCAGAAAGTCTTTTGTTCCCCCTCAGTAAAGCTCTTTTGTTTGGCTCAGATGACTCAATTCTCCTCAGGTCTATTTTAGGGATGGTACCTTTGCCTGCAAGACCCATGTGTTAGAAACAGACTCATATTTTCCATTGAGCCTAAGTGCCGACATTGATTCAACTCAGCCGAGTCAGGTGCTAAACAGCCGCAGTGCAGGTAAACAAGCTGACAGGTATTGATCGATAATCAACCGTATGTCTCCTTACAATAAAAACACAGTGAAAGCACACTCTGTGCTTTAGTTGTGGGAGCTGCTGCTTTGACCGATGTTTGACTTTACCTGACCTGAACAGTCTGTGTTTAAGTAGAAACACTTGCACACACAGTAGTTGCCACAACACAACAGGGGCCTTGCAGGCAATGTTTGTGTAACTGTCTCTCTTCCAACATGGCCACTTGTAACCACTGGTAACACCTTTCAAAAGAAAACATACTTTCTGCGCAGAGGTCAAGCTCGTATATAAATATCAGCAGCCTGCTGCCCCAGATGTGTGTAAGTTCAAACTTAACCTAGTTATAACTTAAGTTATTACTAAGTTGTGATTTATAACATTACTAAAATAAAAGCGGTTGCACCACAGAGATAAGTTACAACATAAGCCTGAGTAAGTGTAAATCATAAAATGTCAAAGAATTATACTTACTTAAGGGTAGAACTGAATTTTGTGTTTCTCTTTATATATATAAAAAAAATTAAATAAAAAAATCACCATAAACTAGTGTAAAAAAAACATTCATCAGAAGTTTAATGCTCAAAATTGTCATATAATTTATCATTAAAGATTTCTTAAAAATAGTGTTAAAATCTCGTCACGTCTCGATCTCGTGAACCCAATCTCTAATCTCGTCTCGTGGGTTAAGTGTCTTCGTCACACCCCTACATTCAGGCAATCCCAAACTCATTTTCTGTGTCCAATATCACGTCCTCATTCACCACTGCTCCCCTTATGATATGTAGTCAGTAGTTTACACTAGAGTGAGCTTTTAAGTAAGATTTCGGACATTGAAGTATAGTGTTACACAGCTGTTCATCTATAAAATGCAGTGTATTGCATTGTGGGACTTTTAGCATAAAATAGTGTACATGCCATATACTTTTTTGTTTCACTGTGCGAATTTGTGAAGGTACTATACAGTGCAGAACATTATCATTCACAACTCAGTAAAAGATTGGACTGTAACTATAGCGCGCTATATAGTAAATAGGTAGTGATTTTGGACACAGCCACTAATCGCACAGGTCAGGATAGGAGAAATAATAAAATCTTGAAGACAAAATCTTCAATTATACATGGATCTTTATTTAACAATATTAATATGTATCATTTTATGATATAGTATCCATTTAGAAACCGTATACATAAACCGAAACTTTGCTGAAGCATTTCATCTCGCACAAAAGAACATGCAAAGAGTAAGATGTGACATCCCAATAAATAGAGATAGCAAAAACAACAAAACGTTACCTGAACAGATTTCCTGGTTCGCTCCACAAAGTCTCTCCGCTCCTGAAGTTCATAGTCACCCAGTTTGAACTTCCCTGGGTTCGACTCCACAATATCTGAACCAGTTAAGGACCAAACATGTCTGATGACCCTCCATCTACTAACTGTTAAAACTCTGCAGCACTTTCAAACACTTGAATATGAAAAGTCACAAGGAAACGGCATTTTAATGCTCTCTTCCCTCTGTAATTTAGCACATATCCGGTTAAAATAAGGTGTCGCAGCGGAATATAACACACATGGCAACTGGTAAAGTGTTTCAACTGCTCAAGGTACTATCACTCTCAAGGTTACTGAATTATGCTAAAATGTATTGACTGCCTGGTGTGTGTATAGTGAGAACTGCTAACATTGTGTAAAAGTAATAAAATCTGTTCAGTCCTTTATTAAAATCCTGGTGACCTCTTTATATAATTAATACTGTTAAAACCAATTTCATTTTCTCCTGTCAAACAAATCTAGCATCCTAAAACATAATAATAGTCACAACCATAATAAGAAGTTCAACCATTAAATGGAAGCAGGTTGTCTCTCTCCTTCACCAGACAGTCTTTCTTTTTCTGATCTTTGCTTAATGATCATGTATGTAAAAATGGTTCTGGCATTTAAAAGGTTAACACATCTCCCGAATAAGGGGAAAGATACATAGAGGAAAGGGTGAGAGTGTGACACAAAGCATCTGTTTGTTCTAAAAATACTGACGGTCATGTGATAGTAAGTGTTGGGGGGGATGAGGGAAAGATTTTTTCCTGTTTGAAGGATACTGATGGTTTCACTGAGGTCCTCCAGATCCCAGTCTATGGCCCTCAGACAGTTCCTCAGTTCATTAGTACTCCAGTCTAGCTCATCACGACTTACCTGAGATCACAGAAACCAAAACACACATGCTAATTACACACACGGCATCTACTCCACCTCCATGCAAGCCATTCCAACCACACAATTCACCAGAAAAGCAACTTCACAATGTCACGCTTACAAAGAAATTGAGAGTGGTTGGTAATTCGAAGGTCTGAAAGCAAGCCATAAGCTTCGCAAACAGTCATAATGTCAAGATGCTTGCGGTGAGAATTGGTTTACGTGTAGGACTTCAGCCATGGAAGTAAGGAATGGAATGTGTGAGTGCATTTTACTCAAACTAGACAATGTCGGAAAAAAACAATATTTACAAAATATAGATTTAAAGAGGCATATCCAATACTAATAATAATAGTTTTTTTTTGTATTTTAAGATTTGAAGCACACTCTTATATTACAGGAATGCTGTGTTTTTAATAGCTTACAGGCGAGCGCTGCATCCTCTAAAGTTAAACGTGAATTAAATTCTAATGTTGAAATATAACGTGTTCATATTATTTACACTGCTAAAAAAAAAAAAAGGAAAAAAAAAAAAGAAGGGAACACTTAATCATCACAGTGTAACATCATGTCAGTTAAACTTCAGGGATATAAATCTGCACAGTTAGGAAGCATAAGCGATTGTGAATCACTGTCACTTGTTTTGTGCAAATGAAAGTGACAACAGGTGCGCTGGAGAGGCGACAGAAAGACGACCCCCCCAAAAAGGGAATGGTTTTGCTCAGTGTGTAGGCGGTTCTTTGATAACAAAGGCATTAATGCCACTGACAAGCCCTCACATTCCCCAGACCTGAATCCATTTGAGAACCATTGGGCCGTTATATATCAGTGCATCAGACAGTCCAGGAGCTCAGTGATGCCCCGATCCATCTGCCAGCACATCAGGAGCGTGCACAGAAGTCGTCGAGAGTGCATACAGGCACGTGGGTGCCATTCTCACTACTGAGTCACATTATGAATTGCTGAGATGAAAGTCACGCAAGTTGGATCAGCCTGTGTTGTTCAATTGTTTTACTTTGATTCAGTCAGTTGGTGATTTGGATTTTTGTTCTCAACTAACGAATGTACAGTAAAGATATTGAACTTTGAACTATTTGTTCGAGATCTGATGTGTGATTTTAAGTGTTCCCTTGATTTTTTGAGTATATATATATATATATATATATATACACAAGCAACAGCCTTAGAAAATTGTTTGTGAAGGATAACTAAATAAAAACTACAACTTTGACAAAAGCAATGACTTTATAAGTTGTTGTTCTTTTCTACCTTTTTTGTATTTTCATGTATATGCCATAATGTATTACATGTCTTTCCAAGTATTAGCAGAGATTAAATTTAAAAACAGATTTCAACTAATGCTACCCAACAACTGATCAAAAAGGGATCATTAAAGACCTCGATCAATTATCTGAAACAATTTTGGATTACAGAAAATCCTTTCAGTGCAGTAGGTGGTTGGTATGTTGCTTCAGGCATTGACATCAAAAGGTTGTTTTGATGAGATTTATTGTGATGTACAGTATGCACATTTGACTAAACAGTCTTTCAACTTCATTTTAAATTAATTCACAACTGGATTTAGACGTTTCTCACTTGTGACTGGACTCGTAATATGCCTAAAAGACCTTCACCACTTTCACAATGCATACATCACATTACAAGCTAATTATGAAACAAATTAACCAATCTGACAACATATGTTGCATAAAGAAACCCTGCGAATTCAGGAAATTTAAGCAAATACAGAAGTTGTACGGAACAAAACAGAAATGAGTTAAAACAAAATACATGTTTGGACATGAGGGACAACCAAACTAATGAACACACTTACACATTAGTAAAAGGTTAATACAAAATATCTCCAATAATATAGTAACTATGATATTTGAATTTGACAAACAAAAATAGACTATTAGGGAATTTTCCTACACTTTTGACGACTTCTGTTCATCGGTTTTTAGAATCTCCCTTTAAACTTTATTTTTTTGTATACAATTTTCAATCCTTATATATTAGAAAGCATGTTTATCTGTGCCAGGTGTGTGTTGTCAAATCGGTGAATGTATCTCCCTATTCCCTTTCATGCATTTCAGGTGTGTTGCGCTTTCTTGGCCGCCCAGGCTGCCCTCGCCTTTCGGGTGTGTTATTGACATATGTCTCTCAGTGGTGCATAGTTCATTCAGCACAGTGATTTCTGCAGTGATACTGTTGAGGGCTGCTCACCTGTGACCCATCCTGCAACAGTTCCTCCCATCTATCAAACAGGCCCCGAGCACGAGAGAGGGCCTTCTGCACCTCCCTGGACGGACGGTTACACACAGACACACACACACACAAAACATGAGCAATACGAAAACTGTTAGACTTCACCCTTCAGACACCTGGCTGTTTTTCAAGTTAAACTCTGAGACTACGCCCCTCGTATAACTAAAACAAACACTCGAGCTACATTTCGCATCCTTCTCTAACTTCGCAACGCCTTGCAAACTGCCTGACAGCAGAGTCCCAAAGCTGCTCAGCGGTTTACAGTGAACGCCGGGTGAAACAAAAACGAAGTTCAGATATCACTCAGTGCGGAACCGAGTCTTGTCACTCGTCTAAACAAACATCAACACACGGACTAACTTAACTTATCTGGGCTCAGCTGGTAGCGCTGATGCTAGTTAGCTTCAGCTAGCCGTTGAGCTAACTTTGCTAATGTAACTTTGTCATTGAGGAAAACCAATTCAGTGTCGGATTAAGCTTTGGATGCGCAATTGTTTGAATTAGCCTGAGGTGACACTGAGTTGTATGTCTTAATTTGTAAATGTCTTACCCCTTCACAACGAAAAATGGGTCTTCGAGCGACATGATGCTTCCGCTTTACTCCCGGCGCATGCGCACTTCGCAGGCAGAACTATTTTAGTGACACTTGCAGTCTGTGGCGGTTGTGTAGAGTTGATCAACGTCTTCTTCTTCTTCTTCTTCTTCTTCTTCTTTGGGTTTTTACGGCAGCTGGCATCCATTGAGTTGCATTACTGCCTCCTTCAGTTTTTATTTACCCTTTGCTTCCATTCATACAAAATCTGCCTATCTAATCCAGTCGCCCTCAGAAAACCAAATATCCATTTCCTACCCTCCACACTTTCTCCAAAACTCCAATAAACTTTTTACTGTATTATCTATCCGTCCTATTTTTTTTAACTATGTTACCATTTCTTGTCTTTCCTGAGTAAATTTCCTGCATGTTATAAGAATATGTTCTGCTGTTTCAGCCTCCTGACATTGTTCACACATTCCTGTAGGATGTTTTCCTGTAATTAAAAGTGTGCTGTTAAGCTCTTCCCAGCCTACTTATTATCACCTGCTCTTTCCTCTTTGCTCCCCTACTTCTCGATATACCTACCTTTACTTTGGATTCTGAGTAAATGTCTCCCTTTTATTGCATTATCCCAGCTCTGTTGCCATTGTTGATTTACACTTCTCCACACACTATACGCCGTCCAATGCTTCATTCCACTGCACATCATTTCTGTCCCATTCCAGCTTGTAAAAAGTAATGATAATAATAATTATGCCTATGGTTTGATAAAGATGGTTAAAGTCAAGGTTCAGTATAAGAGAAGGAAACTGGCTGACAGAAGAGGAGTTACCGGTAGGCCTACACATCTGTATAAGATTAGCTGCCGGGGTAACGTCTATGCAGTTACTATGGAGGACCTGCAGTGAAGTGCAAAAGTTTATACAGACAGAGAGCAATGCATTGCAGTTAACTTAAACTCTTTTTTATAGGCTACACGTTGTCCAAATATTTACAATAGAAAGAAAACAGCGAATTTTCTGACTGTAGATACAATAGACTAGACTAGTAGGAGGGGAGGGTGGGTTCTTTAAGGATTTCTTCATCAAGACTATAAATTGACTACAAACAGAAAAATTAACATCTACAAAACAATTTCGCGGGCAAACTCCACCTGAAAGGTCCATGCAGAAGAGGATTAAGGCCACATGTGAATTTTTTTTTTGAGTTCTTTTTTGAGTTCTGAGAAAAAAAGTCAGAATTCTGAGAAAAAAAGTCAGAATTCTGAGTTTAAAGTCAGAACTCTAAAAAAAATTTCACATGTGGCCCTAATCCTCTTCCGCAGGTCTGCAAGTCTGCCGTCTTCACAGTTAAAAATGATCTTTCAGTGTCAAAGATATGTAGCTACATTCTTCTATTTCTGTCTTTTTATGCAATCAGACTAAATGGATGTAGTTTACGCTTCCGAAGTGATAGGCCTATACAAAGCTAATAGCCCACAGTGTGAAATATAGTATAGTTTTGCCCATCACAACTTTTGAGCAGAAACATGATTCACTTTTTACTATATTGATTATTCAATGTTCATGTTTACGAACATTGATGATACAACCTTTGATGATGAGTTGTCCAATGTTATAGGATGCATGGATTTCTCAACCTCCCTCAAAACAGACCTAGAAGCTCCTCCACAGTTCCAATTTTTCAATTCAATCAAAGCAAATGGAAATCTGACTGAGACATAGAGCTCTCATTAAAAATTAATCAGTAAAGGATCCACATAGATGGGCGGTGTGGATCAGTGGCTGGGAAAAAAACATGCATGCTCAGCAATTCCTCCAGTACTGTTCTCTCTTTACAGCTCGCCTTCCTGTCCCACCCATTTGTCTCTATTCCTGTGAGATTTTCTCTCTAATCCCACCCTGTCCTGTCCAACTCCTTTCTTCCTGTCTTCATCCTGTTTCCTCTCCTCTACTCCTCCTTCATTCCACTTCCTCCCTTCCTGTCCTGCGAGAATTCACAGCCAGAGTTATAAACGTCACTCTTGAGACACACTCAAACACACACACACACACACACACACAGAAAGAGTTATAAATGTAATCCCAAAAAAGCTTTTTTTTTTATTTGGCCAGTAATATTCATTAATCAGTTGCTTGCTTCATTTTAAGAATACGTTTATCACTGTCAAAATAACTGTGTTCTAGATGCCGATAGTTTAATGACAGTGGTATCAGTATCACCAGTTTCTCTCAAAATTAAGAATACACTTCTCATTCATTTCTTGCTTTTTGGCACCAATTTTTGCTTGTTTCATCAGTGAGAAGTTGTGTCTTTGACTTTGATGAAGAGATTTTGTCCGGATCAAGCCCCCCTGGGTGCCTGAAAGCCCCATGTTTATCCTGTGAATCTGGAGCAACATGCAGATTTGATTAAACTGCCATGTGTAGTCTGCTGTACGCTGTGCTTGAAGCTGACTCCATACATGTTGATATAAGTATCCAGGTCTCTGATTGTGTGCATGTGTGTCCTCAACCTCTGCCACTCGTTTCTGTACAGACAGAGTTACCTCAACAGTTGAGGAGGAACACAAATAGTTGTTTAAACTCTGCATTTATTCCTGTTCTGGATTTAGCTTATCCGTCTATCACCAGTAATGGAGAACACATTTTTATGCCCTGCATTGCCGCAGTTTTGACTAATTCTCAACTTGGATAAGGTGTTTTTGAAACGGCATCCCAGTTTCTATTGGAGTACTCCAGCTAGCATATCCAGGTCTATCAAATTTCATAATTTGTCACACGTCTAAACATACTCATAAATTCCTTAGCCAATAGGTGACTTGCAATGTAAAATGCAGTGTACAGGTCAATTACCAGTCTTCTCAGCACTGATTTTGTCAGTTAGCAACAAATAAAATAATGTGGTGTTAAAATCTCGTGATCGAAATACAGAGGGGCATTTCATACTTTCAAAGCATCATAATCCAAATATTTATATATCCAAACATAATTCAAATATTTTATATAACTTGTCAGGTATTTACATTTATTCATTTAGCTGATGCTTTTATCCTCAGGGACACATTGGTGTCTCACAGTAGATTCAAACCCAGGTCTCTCACACCAAAGGCATGTGTCTTATCCACTGCACCATTACCACCCCTTGGGTATCATTCCTTACATATGGCGACCAAACAATCAGTGTATAGCATTTAGGTGAAGCCAATTTTAGTCATATTGCCCAAAATCTCAAATATTTTACACTTTACAATCTTTACAGCACAAGACTTTCAGTTACACAATTAATCCATGTATAGATACTTGAAGTGAGAATCATTTAGGTGTTTTTTTAAAGCTCAAAATAAGTTTCCACTTGCTGCATGACTTTATTTATCTCTACCATTCATCTACTGTCCAGCTTAGCTGAATGCAGATATGCCTCAGTGGAAAGTTTGAGTAATTTTAAAACATAGTCATTAAGCAAAGTTGCTCTCAAACCGGTTGCTCTTGCGTAACATAAGAAAGAAGAGTCAACCGGCAGGGGGAAACAGCCAGAGAGGTGCTCAGTCTATATATAGACACCCTGACCCATTCTCTTACAATGCCTTCAAGTGCTCCTTGTAAGGATGACCTATTTTCATTTTTGGAAATACAACTTGCTGCTGAGAAGTGCATTCAGAAGCGAATAATGAAAAAAGTGGTTGTTTTCTACTATTCGGTTTCCTGCTGTTTTCTTCTGGAGCCGAAGTTCCAGAAGGAAGAGGTGGAAATACACGTCATGACATTAATTAATAGTGAATGATGCCAGGATGCAACTGAAAACCACAACAAACATCAGGCTGTGTGTCATACATTTGCAGCACAATTAAACAGGCCACTTTAACCACCAGTCACTCAACCTAATGTCTTCAAGAACCTTTTAAATACTTCTAAAAATCTATGAAAACATTAAAACCTGTTGAGAGCTATTGACAACCAGTGCCACATTCTCCTATGTGTCAGCATGTTTGGCTAATTAACTTTGAAATCTATTCAATATTTACAGTATATTTATTTTTTATTTCTGCTTTGATTCTAGGCACCCATTGGTTTCCAATTATTTCCATGATCATGTCATTATATATATTCTGACTCAAACTTGCTTCAGTTTCAGTGTAATTCCATTTCGGCCTGAATGTCGAGTCTGAATAGATTTTTGCAGTGCAGACGTTCATCTAAATTGCATTAATTGATTATTTGGCTGCTTTGGAGCAGTGCAACAAGCTGTAAACAACACTAATACACAGTTTATTCACCGTATAAAGTTGATATGGCAAACATGTTAACAGACATTGGCTTATTTATACGCTGAGCAGATACAGAAAAACTATTGTTTTCTCCATTAATCATTTTGTCTGTAAAATGTCAGAACATAATAAAAAGAAAATGTCTTCAGATGTCTTGTTTTGTCCAACCGATAATTCAAACCCCAAAGATATTCAGTTTACAATCATGTATGACACGGAAAAGCATCAAATTCTCAAATTTGAGAAACTGAAACAAGGGACTGTTCTGGCTTGAAAAAGTACTTTAATTTAATTATTAAAACAATCATTTTATTATATAAATTGTTGCCAATTTCCGTTGATCTGTTGATGTTGCAGCTCTCATTTGCAAAATGTAAGTCCAATATTAATTGAATAATTTTTTTAGATTTCCTTTTTGATATTTTGATATCCTTCAACTTCTGAGGAAAATATCTGTCTTAGTGGTTAAATGCACCACTGTGTCCACCAGCTAATCAATAACTACGTCTGTCTGCTGTTGGGTGCTGGGCATGTAATGGGATTTTAGAGCTTTTTCACTAAAAACAGCTGCCTGTTGTAGCTGGAAACAAGTTCAATGAGAGAGGTGAGAGTGACTGAAAACAGTAAAGCTGTGGGCCATAGTACCAACACAACGAGCTGCATCATCCTTACACAACACGTAGTAATTTGATCCATTCTTAATATAGAAATACTGAACAGAGGAAATGATGTAACATTGACAACAAACAGCATGGTTACTGTGCCAGAACAAGTTAAAAGAATCTGTTTATTCATTTTCAACCTTACAGAAATTAATGGTAATGACTGGCCAACTTCAAACCCCGGTCGTCCTGACCTTTCTGTGTGGAATTTGCATGTTCTCCCTGTG